TGAAAAAAGTAGTGATATAGGAATTGCTGAGAGTGCAGGAGGTAAAGTGTTGCTGCTGGGAGCATAAATCTATGGAAGGTGACTGGAAAATTTGGTAAAATGACAAGTAATACCTGTGATGGTTAGTTTCCTTGGTCAGTTTTCCAGTACTAAGTGTCCAGTTAGTTAGCCAAACACTAAGCTAGGTGTCGCTGTGAAGGTATGTGGTAGACGTGGTTAACATTTACAACCCCCACGAGTAAAGAACACCCTTAGTGATGGAGGTGGGCCCTGCCCAATCAGTTGAAGGGCATAAGAGGAAAACCCAGGTTTCTTCAAGGAAAGGCGGAATTCTGCCTCAGGACTGAAGCATCCACTTCTGCCTGAGCTTCCAGCCTGCTGGCCAGTCCTACAGATTTCAGACTAGCCAGCCCCCACAATAGAAGAACCCCTTAACATATCTTGCTCACAAACAGGGGTGGGCAAACATCGGTTTGCAGTTGTGAGCATGTGAAACTAGACCACAAGAATGTAAAGATAGTGACGGTCAGCAATTTAAGCACTTATAGAGATCGTACCCAAGCGCCCTGTGCTATTGTGACTTTCTTCTGAGTTGATAACGCTGTTACAATAATCATTACCTGCATGTCTTTCTCATACGAAGAACTGTAAACGTACTCTTGCCTACTCCTGCATGTTCCTCTGGAGAACACTTAGTGGTGTTTCTCTGGAGAACACCGATTGTACACTACCCTTTAATCCAGCAATCCCACCTTCCCGCTGTGAAGCGACCCACGGGCGCCCCGTTTCATCGCAGCCTTGTCTGCAGTAGAAGGTGTGCAGGCAGCCTGGGGGTGGCCATCAGCAAGCGGCCGCTTAAGAAGTTCTGTGAATCCCCGGAGTGGAGCACAGCGTAACCACCAGAAAGTACGGGGCAACGACAGGAAATGGTTTCCAAAGGTGACTTAAGTGAAAAAAGAAAAATACCACACAGTGAACAATGGTTATACTATGCTCTTTTGTGGCTGCAAACACATTCGTGTTTGCAAATGCATAAAATATGTCTTGACAAGAACACCAAAATCTAACCCTGGAAGCCTCCGGGGAGGGGCACTGGGTGACTGGGTCCAGAGGAGAGGAGCGACTCACCCTGTGCCCTTTGGTTTCACAGAACAAAACCCCTTACATCAGATCATATTGCAGCCCGGCCGGGCAGCTACAGCCCTCAGGCAGAGTCCTTTACGACCCGCGCTGCCTCCACCCATGCCTGCCCCTAACCTCCACTGCTCCCCGTCCTCCTCCGCAGTCTCCATTCCAGTCTTACAATCACTCCACCTCCTCAGATTCACACGCTTTCTCAGGCCCCAAATCTGCAATGGCCCTGAGACCCTCTCCAAGAGCTCCTGCTTGTTGTCAGTGCTGCTCCCTGTCTTCAGAGGGACCTGGGCGTCGGGGCTCTGCCGGGGAGGAGTGCAGCGGTCATTCTCTCCCCTGCACTCTGTGGACACCCCAACCCCTGGGCTCCTGCCGTTCAGGCTCAGAGATGGAAGGGGCGCCACCAGGTAGCGTCCTGGGTTATCTCAGCTTTGTCAGGTGGACATAGGGAAAGACACCTCCTAGTAACTGGACTTCACCAACCGGTTACAAGGAAGGAACGTGGTTGGCACTGTGTGCTGCGCGATGTCCCTGGTCTCAGGCGTGGAGTAGGCGGGCACCTGGTCCTTGGGGACTCCTGTTGTATGTGGAAGACAGCACACCTGGAGTTTTCCAGGGAGGTGGCTGGATGTCAACACTTCAGAAGCGCACCTGGACAAATGCAGTGAACTGTGGGAAAATGAGAGCTTGGATTATGTCTCAGGAGAGGGAAGTAGAGCAGGTTAGGAGAGGAAGAAGTCTGGATCCCAGGCAAAGGAAGGGAAGAAAGCAGGCAGGGTGTGTACTCTCCAGTTCGGCAATGGATGCAGGAAATGATGTCAAGCATGCATTTTATTTTTCTCATCCGCAATTTGCTATCTTTGTACAGATTCCATCTCAGTTGAGTAACAGGGATGTCAGTCGATGCCAAAAGGGACTCAGTCAGGTGCAGCGGTGTGGGAAATCCATATTGAGCCTTTTCCCAGCACACAGCAGGTCTGGGAGAGGCACGAGCAAAGGCACAGAGGTGAGGGCCGATTGGACAGCCTTGATTTGGGGTTTTGCATGCTCATCTGGCTTCATTCGCAGCCTGTTAGAATTTCATGGCATGGAAAACTGGAAGTCTCACCCGAGGACCCTGGTGCAAACAGGGACACCCAGTCCTGCTTGTGGTCCCTGCAGCCGGGTTCAGCTGGAACTTCTCGGCTGTCTCGAGTTCCAACAGGACCGGTGGGACCATTTCACTCACCAAAGCTCCGATTTTGTTTCTCCTGGGTTGAACTAAAAAAACCCTCAAAAAACTGTGGAACACACTATTTAAAAACATGTACTCTGAGTCAAGCATAAACACAAAGCTGTCTTTTTATAAAGTCTGAGCTTTATAAGTTTGCCAAAATGTTTCTCCGCTGGTTTTCAAAATTGAAGTAGAAACCACTTAAGAGTGAAGAAAATATTCCATGGAGGAAATTCTCAGACACTGAATTCCCAGGTCGACAGCACAGAGAACTCAGTGTCTGTGCCGCAGAGCCCCGGGGGCAAGGCCGGTGGGAGGCAGCCTCCGAGCGGGGCGACGGCGAGCCAGGGTGACGCCCTGGAGGGCACAGGGGAGTCGGCAGTTAGTTCCACCGGAGTGACTGAGGTGTCAGGCTCCGGTCGGGCCGGCTTCCCCAGCTTTTCCTGCTCCACGGCCCTGAGCCCCAGCCGTGCAGGCGAACACGCACACTGTTCCCCGGGCCCAGGGCTGCGGCGGAAACTGCCCTGCAGCCGAGCGTTTGCAGACGCCAGGTCTGGGCTCTCCCGGCCCCATTACCTCCTGGACCCTCCTCTCCCCTCCCTTCCGACACGTCCCCTTCCTCGACTCTGCCCTTTCCATCCGAGACGTGGCGCGGGAACAGAGCACGGGCCTCCGGGGCCAACTCCGGGCGCTCTCGGAGCAGCGGCCCTCGGCAGGGCGCTGTCGGCCCGGGGGCTGCAAAAGTCGGCCTCAGGACCCCCGTCGTCTGGTCAGAGGGCAACCCGCCCCCAATTTAGGGAGCTGGACCGGTCGAGCAGCCTGTGAGAATGATGCTGTCTGTTGAATCCGGGGGCTTCTGATTTTTTCTTTACGAAAGACCTGGGCCCTGTGGGTTGTCCGCAAAGGGCCTGCACCGCGAGCAGGACGCGCAGGCGGTTTGAGCACCGCCGAGCGAGCCCGGGCGTCCGCAGCTACTGCTGAGGCTGCAGAGGCCCACGTGCCCGGAGAAAGGCCGCCTTTCGAGGCCTGTGATGTGCGGATGGAGGAGAGAAAATGCGGGTGCTCCTGGACGCCAGCGGATGGTGCCTGCGAGGTCAGCGCTGGGGTGTGAGGCACTGGCGCTGCCCGGCGGCGGAGGGGACATGGACAGAGTGTGGGCCGCCCAGCGTGTGGCCAGCTCCCCCAGCCGATGGGCACTGCGTGACAGTTTCACTGCCCCCAAACCTTCCCCAACTCTGGGGACATAGGTCTTGGGCTGACTGGGAGTCGGGGCTACGAGGAGACGTCGTCGTGGTTGTGGAAGGGACCGAGCCAAGGTGCTTTCACAAGCGTGGGTTCTCCTTTTCCTCATTAGGGCGGAGAGCTCGAGTGGAGGGAGCCTACTGTGCGCCTTCGGGGCTCCTGGCTCAGGCCTCCTGCGGCCTCTTCCAAGCCCGCCTGCCGCACAGGTGTTAATCATCCCTCTTCAGTGAATGGAATTCAGTCTCTCTTGGGGAGCAGGGGGACTGTTAGGGCGAGTTTTAAAACCTTTGCTATATGACTCAAGCCTCTTCCCCAGGGTCGAACGTTCTGTTGCAAAGCTCGCTGGCAAAGCCTCGCTGACAGAAGTCTCGGACCAGGCCGGAGCTCCGGGCACTGTGCGGGTCCCGCTCCCTCTCCTTTAGCGCCGCAGCAGCCACACTGTCTCCTTCCGCACGTGTCTCCTGGACGCGGTCCTCCTTCCCCTTACAGTACTCCCAGTCACATACCGAGATTAAGCTCCCTTGAGTTATGAGAATTTTGTAGGAAGAATTTCATCTAACATCTCAGCTTACAAGGCATTTCTCTGTGTTTCCAGGGACCACTCTGGCCTTCACACGTCTCTTCAGCAGCTGGGGCCTGGGAAGGAGGGAGTCACCCTGTGCTCACCTCACAACTTCGAGCTGTCGTGGGCACCGTGGATTCTTGGGTTACTGGGTTTAGGTGGCAGTAACTTCTACAGCCTGTTTCTTTCTTTTGCCTTTAACTTTTTTCTTTTTGATCAGAGGCTTAATTACATAAACCTTGAGTAAAAATAGGCCAAAGACCAAACCAAACTCAAGGCTCACAGAGGTTGAGTACCGTGTCCAGCATCACTCAGCCACAGAACGCTGAAGCCAGTGTCCCAACCCCGGTTAGCCTCTCTAGCCATACACTGAACTGACGTTACTCAGAATCTGTAGTAATGCATTTCATACACATCATCCTGGGATCAGAAGTTTTAAAATGCGATTCCCACTACGTGTACTGTGTAGTTCAAGCCCCAAGGCTCCGAGGACACTGCTGTGTCTTGATTCCACGGTTGAGGGTGAAATGAGATTTCAAAGGCACGAAGGTGGGAAGCCAGTTTCGAACAGCATCGTATGCAGAGTTAGAGTGCGCGCATTCAGACACCTGCCTACTCTGGGAGCAGACCAAACTGTATACATTTTTATACCTCTCTCCCTGCCTTTTTGTTAAAAAACAAAAAGCAGCGCACAGTTGAAGACATAGTTTGTGTAGACTGGTGAGGTAGGAGCCACATACAAAGATGTCACGCTCCTTGCTCCTCGCTGGCTTATTTCTAAGATTCAGTTCTTGTTTTCAAATCAATCACATTGACAAAAAGAGAAAAAAAGACACACACACACACCAGTGTTACAAAACCTTGTATTAATCATTTCCCTTCACTTTCAATATAACGTTGATATGAAATATAGCCATGATTCTTAGTTACATGGGAGGAAATGAGTAATAAATACATTGTAGCAAGTTTAAACCACAAGGGTGTTTCACTGGTAACAACATTTGAAAACTGTACACTTGCAAAGAACAGCATCTTCAAACATTAGTATATCTGTATATCAGTAAAGCTTTTACATGTAACAAACATGCTATTTCCATATATGACAAATTTAAAAAATATGCATTGCCTGGCAACATGAACTAGGCAAAAATAGTTCTTTGTTCACTAACTTTATACAGGAGAACAGGACGGAAGGCATGCATGTACAACAGGGGTGCCTGCGTGGGGCATGCAACGGAAGAAGCTTTCAAAAGTCGGCTTACACTAGGCATAAATACATGAGGGTTATATATTAATAAGGGAGGAAGTCTTCTGTTTGACACTATTAACATTCCTGTTTTCTTCCTATTCCTCCCAGAGGAATAAACATTCACCTTTAAGTAAAGATAAAGGAATTACAAAAAAATAAAACTCACTTTGCAAACATCTCAGATGACTTGTAAAAAAAAATCAACATTAGTGTTATCACAGCCCCATGTGCAAATTACCCTTCTGCAGGTCCTCTTTGTAAGAGGCACACCGAGCGCTCGGGCCAGGCTGCTGTCGGCACCCACGCCGGGGCGGCCGGCCGCAGACCTCTCTGGAAGGGCCAGCAGAACCCGGGCCTGCTTTTCCTCCCCTCGCTGCCCTTCTGGTTGCATGCCTCTGCATTCAGCCCAGCGCAGCCCAGGCTCTGGGTGAGATCCCACTCCTCGCCAGGAGTGCGCACCTACAAACCTCGCCCCGGCAGTAGCTACAAGAGGTGCAGAAGAACAAACGACCCAGAGAAGGCTCCCATTCTGTAAAAGGCAACCGACGACACCTCAAAAGAAAACCTCGTTTCCCTCAGTGTCTCTTCAAATGAATGGGAGGTGGGGGCCCAGCTGCTGCTCCAACCCTCAGCACCAAAACGGGCCCAGCAGGGCCCAGGAGCCGAGAGCTCGGGGCCAACAGCCGCCTTCCACGGGCCGACCCAGCAATGTCTGTTTTGCTTGCTGGCCCTCGGTTTAAATGTGAAAGTCAAAAAGCATGTGGAAAAAAAAATATCAGCAGCAATGTTTCATTTCTTGTACACAGTTCATGTGTATCTTCCTATTGTTTCTGGTAAGAAACCACTATGAATAAAAAGCACCAATAAAACATCATACACGGTAACAGTATCATAGAACGTCACTGTCCCTGGGACAGTGTGGAGATGCTGAGTACACACTGAATAAATCGGAACAAAGGGAGAAACGTATAGTGGAACAGATCTCACTCCAATAGTTTTAATGTTTACAATGAATATAAAACAGTTGCATTGGGGGGGGGCCCATGGGCAAATACAAAAAAGGCACCGCTGCATTATTACTAAATATCCAACCTCACAGCCTTATGTATGCAACCGTTTGATTCTTTTATAAATAAAATTATTTTGCTTTAGAATTTTTAAATTGAACTGTATACCTGCAGTCAACACAGGACTCAAAAGAAGGTGGGGACAGGCTCCTAAAATTGATCAAAACACCCAACTTAAAAAAAAAAAGAAAACACTAAGAGCAAAACACAACTAAGTAGATAAATCTATACACAGTCAATGAAAAATAAGCTTTTCTTTTCTTAAAAAATGAATTAGGTTGTTATTAATAACAGACTTTATCATGGTTACCAGCCATAGCAAGTTAATAAGTAACATATCCAAAATAATATCTCTAATAATCAGATAACCATTGTTTCTATATTTAGTGAAGGAATAAATAGAAATTCAGCTCTGCAAGTATTTTAAGGTCTTCCTTTGAAAGGGTCCATGCTAATGTGACTGCACAGTCCATTTTCTGAACAACTGCAGTCGTGTGGGTGTTTGGGTGTTGCAGCGGATCTGACTGCTTCCGCGTTTCTCCACAGGGTGTGTACCATTGTCTCTCTCCTCTTTACCTTTCTTAGCATCCGAAAACCACTTCCGCGAACCCTCTGGTCTTACCTTTGGCCTTCAACACGTTCGGCCTATTTGTCCCTGCCTTACCCGTGGTCGTCCATCCCAACACACTCCCCCGGCAACATGAAGCTCACTTAGAAAAGGGACGTGGAGGATGAATGTTAATGGCACTTGGTTAAAAAAAAAAAATCAACTAAAGAAATGCTGCCTCTTTCTGCACGTGGATTTGGATTTTTAGAATGTAGCCACCCAAGGAGAGCTTTTTTTTTTTAATGTAATATACGATTTTGTAGGTTTAAGTTTTCTTTTGTGGGCTAAAGGCTCTCGACAGTTAACATGCCCTCACCCTTTCAGACCTTAAAGGGATTTCAAAAACCTATTACAACATCCAAGGCCACTCCAGGCCATGTTGGGTGCCCATTTTTAATCTTGAAGGTTATAAGAAGTTATTTGGATTTCATTAAGGCCTTTTAAATCTATATTGACTTCATTAACTGTCTTTTTTAAAAAAAATAACCATCAGCAAGTGCAGTGATTTTCATGGTGTAATCTTTTCTATTTTGACCCTGACTTCACTAAAAAAAAAAAAGGCACCAGATTCACCCATTTAATAAACAGGCCTCATACCGTCTCCCCAATCTCGCCTCCAGCTGAGCATCAATGTCAGCATGCACACAAGCCAATTTCCTAGTGCACAGCACAACCCCCTTTGATTCGAACACCTGCCCTCCTATCGATCTCCAAAATGGAGTCCCTCTTGCCCTGAAGACACAGAGCTATTCCTCTGTGGTAGCACAGTGTGTTACTCTCTCATGGTGTGAAGAGTGGCTTTATTTCCCACCTGGGTGGAGGGCTTGTCAGCCAACAACACAGCAAAGCCCGATGGACGCCATGTGAACAGAAGTGTCGTGTCCACCATGCAGCTGACCTTTCCCACACCTTTCACTGACCACCTGGGATGGTGGGGCTGGCCGTGGCCACACACTGCACCTCAGCTCCCTCTGCTACTTGCAGACTGACCATTTCTACACTGTGGCTGGGCTCTGATCCCCTCCTCCTCCTCCTCAGAGGAGAACCAGCAAAGAGGATAGAGCCCTGAGGCTCAGGGTCCTGGGAGGAACACATCATCAGAGGCCTTTCAAACTCATCATCTGGGTATTAAGGCCTCTTGCAAAGAAAAAAGTGTCCATCCTTGCCTTTTCTCCTCCAGTGGAACCTGAACCGCCTGTGTGTGTGTGTGTAGTGTGCCAGGGTGAAACCGCACGGCCGGGTGGGGAGAGGGCTCTGGGTGGCAAGCAAATCCGGCACAGAAAGGGCCTGCAGGATTCTCTTAGAGCCTCCGGGGTCCTGCACACCCGAACGGGTTGCGTGGTGCTGTCCTCCTGGCGCCCTTCCGAGTGCTCTGCCTCTTCTGGCCACATCCTTGACCTTCAAACCCACCTACACGCTGCCCCACCTGCCGGTGAGAGTGGGACAACTCAGGCCGACGTGCCTGCAGCCTTCTCCCCAAGGAGCAGGGCTGGACGGCCACTGTAAAAGACAACCCTGCTGCTAGTATAAAAATAGAGGGGAAAAATGAATCCCTATCAACAAACCCTTTACAAAAACCATAGTATGAAGAGAGGTTCATCCGAACTCTTTACACATTATGTACCCTTTAAAACAGTTATGTAAACAATACACAAATCCAAGTTTATCTGAAATTTTGTGGGAGGGGATCTCTCCCTTCTTGCCCCTCTGGCCATGGAGCCCTGTCCTGGGGCTGGATTCTAAGCAGGGGCCTCTGGGGAACCCGATGCGGGGGGACGAAGCGCGAACCACCATCTTGCTTTGGTCACACGGATCATGTCTTCCTCCGAGGTCCAGACCGCGGTGGCAGGCGCTGCGAGAGGCTCTCTGGTGGGACCTCTGCCTCCCTCCTGTGTCTCATCTCTTTCATGGCGGCTCTTTTTTTTCTCCCTTTCCATCCCGAAGCCACTTGCCTTGCCCCCACCCCCACCCCAGTCCCATCTTCCCCAAAGACCCCTCCCCACTCGACACACCAAGCCTTCCCATGACAGAAACAAATGACAGAATAACCAAGCCCAGGTCTACTGATACGTTTACAAGGATGACCTACGCTCTCACAAAATCAAAACGGGCGAGGGACCAGGGGGGAAAAGGCTGCAAAGGACCTTGGAGGGTTCTGCGCAACCTGGAGATGGCTGACACTGGCCCGCAGCAGTCGGTTTCACGGCCAGCGCGGTCACTCCCGTCCTTGGCTTTAGATGGTGGAGGTCCGGTCAACCCCGTCTGGAGAGGAAGCACACAATGGGCCCCGGTGAGCAAGGCAGTTCCGTGCACGCCCCTCGTCCCACACCACGCACGCTGGGCCTCCCAGTCTCTGAGGGCAGATAAGGGCTGCCTTCCTTCATTCACATGCCCACCCACTCCACCTCTGGGAAACGGCTGTTTTGGCAGTAACCATACTGAGCTGGAAGCTGAGACGTAAGGACTGGCCCTTGCCCTCTAGGTGCTCACATCCTAGTCAGAATACAGACGTGTAAACCCGCAATGATGTAGGAGTGGTAGCTGCTACACTGGAGTATGTGCCAGGCACAGCGGGAACATGGAAGAGAGTGTTGAAGTCACCCCTGGAAAACAGGGACAGTTTCCCAGGGATAGCGACTTTCGAAGATGGTGCCGTGGAGAAGGAGGCAGGGAAAACTGAAAGTGGAGCGCGCATACAGCTCATGGACAGGTGTGATGTTGGTTACCACATGGTGGGGCCTTGGCAGGTTGCAGGTTCAGGGTGAAGGACAGGGGAAGGGAGTCGGGCAGGGGCTGCAATGGACATGCAGGGGGACCTGGCTAACTCACGCCCCTTTCCTTGGGAGCGCCCCCCTCCTGTCCTGAAGCTCTGCTGAATGACTGCGAACGGGGCGGTCCCACCTGAGCAGCCCTGGGGGATGCATCTGACCCAAACTGACCCAGGTTCTCTGTCTCAAAAATCTGATCGGGGCAGAGACACCATAGTTAGAGTGGTGGGCACTGGGAACCGAAAGATCCCGCCCATGCAGGCGGGAGAGTGCGGAGGCCACCCACAGGTGCCAAGGCTATGGTGCGGGGAATCGGCAAAGCCGGGCTATGGAGAAAGTGGGGCATGTGTACGCCGGAGCTGAGAGGCCATGAGTGGGACTTATCCTTGGGACAAAGGCAGTGCCCAGACTCAAACCATAAGGGTCTTGTATACTGTGAATGGGAGCTTGGATACCGGTAATTAGGGGATTATAGGGAGTGGAGTTACCAGACTTGATTTTAGGAGGGTTTTCCTGGCAAGAGGATCAGTTAAGAGGCCCCTACAGTGGCCCACACTAGGGCTGACGAGGGCCTATCAGCAAGCAGAGAGAAGGGCGTGGATTAGCCATCACAGGAGGTAGCAAAGACTATGTTCAGTGACCACCGTATGAAGGCCCCGGGGGATGCAGGACGCCTGCCTGGTTTTGCTTATTTCCAAACGCCAGCAGTGTGTCCTAGTCTGAGCCTGGTCTACCAGATCTAGACCCACTGGGTAGAATTCAGCGTGAGAGGGGAGCGGCAGAGTGCTGCAGGGACCCTGGGGTGGGGGGGACCCGAGTGAAATGGAGGAGCAGCGCAGAGACCTCCTTGGGAGCGGTGCCTGGATGCAGCTCGCCAGCAAGGACTTGGAGGAGAAAGGTTTCTTGATTTGAAATTTTGACTGTGATCATTGTAGGTTCATATGCAGTTGTAAGAAAGAGTACCAGTTTCCCCCACGATAACATACTGCAGAACCTCAGTGTAATACCACCAAATGCTGCCACCGACACACCTTACCCACCTTATTTCAATTTTCCCAGTGTTATTTGTATTTGTGCATGTGTGTGTGTGTGTATATATAAAGTTCTATACAAATTTTGGAGCAATTTTAACGAAGGGAAGCAAATGCCCCCTAAGGTCATCTGTGGTATCAGATCATCAATAATAACCTCTCCCCGCCCCACACACACACTGAAGGTGTCACCCTCTCGGGGTGGCCCTGCGGTGGAGACTGGTCGTGGGAGAGCAGCAGGTGTGTACGTGTGCACACGGAAGCGTGCGTGCGGGGCGGGGTGTAGCGGTCACTCCGTCATCTGCAGAGGCGCAGTGCACACTCTCGCCAGGGCTCACTGGCCCGCTCATTATTGCTGACCCTTCACAGTTGTGGGTGTGGGAGCTGGAAACCTGAGAACCTCAGCAAACCCAACCCAGGGCACATTTTCACGGAGTCCCAACTGTAAACCTCTTCCTCCAACGGCGAGGGTATTCATCCGCAGAGAAATGACCACACAGGAAGCCTGGACTCACCATTTACCATTGTGTGAGGTGTGCACGGCACAGCACCAGGGGGTGCTATTCATATACAACCATCACAGGTTTTACAGTCATTACAACAAATTTCAAATAAAAGACAGAGCAGCATTTGAGAAATTGGAGCTGTTCTCTCACTGGCACAAAGTCTCCTTGCTGCCACAAGGGGGGGACTGTAGGACCCAAGGGGGGCGTAAGGAGAAAAGAGAGTAGGAATAGCAAGGGGGTCACGTGAAGCACGAACCCCGGAACATCAGAGTGAACCGGGAGGTCCTCTTTATGGTACAGTTCACTACAGACTCCATTCTGTTTGGAGGAGCCTTGCCTTCACCTCTGTGAGTATTTCTGCCCACGAACCCCCCCACCCCCATTGGAAGAAAAGAATGCCAGGGGTTGGCACTGACACCTCCTGTACGCTGCAGGCCGCCAGTCAGGAACAGCCCCATGGGGCCCCATGAAGCCTTAAAGACTCCCAAACCGAGATGGCAGAACCAACCCCACCCCAGGGCTTCTCACGGGTTCTGCTGGAGAGGCCTGGGGGAGGGGGAAGAGGAGGGGGAATGGGGCACAGAGAGGAGAGGGGCTTCAGACTGGCCCAGGAGGGCGGCCGCCAGTGGGGGAGACAGAGAGGGCAGAGACATGGCACAGAGGGGCGGGCTCCCAGGGCCTGGCGCCCTGGGACCAGCCAGCCTCGTTGGAATGGCCACCCCCACCCCCCACACTTCCCTGAGACAGAAGCAGAGGACCCTCTTCCGGTCTGCTTGCCTCTCCCTAGTTACTCATCTCCCTCCTGTAAAGTGACTTAGTTCACAGGCCTTCTGTCCCCAGCAAGGTCATCTTCCCTGGCACCTGGAGGGGCCAGCCAGCAGAGAGTGCTGTCATTGAGGGCGGCCCCAGCGCCGCTGCCACCGCCACCACCATGCCCCACAGAGCCACCCTGGACTTAATTCGCACTCTCTGCTCAGGAAACTGCATACAGGCTTCCCAACAGAGGATTTACTGAGAGAAAAAACAGCAATAAAAAGGCTTAGGAGATTAATCTGATGAAAACATTAGCAAAAACACATCCATTCAGAAAGGTTTCCTGTAAAAAGAGAAGAATGGGCTAAAAAATGAAGTCTTTTGAAGAAAAGCTACCCTTTCATAAGGAGCATTTGGCATTCTTGCTACTAATGACGCTAATGTTAGTACTTAGCAGTTTGATAAGAACTTCCAACAAGCCAATTATCTGAGCAATATCAAGTCCCGGGGGGGACGAGGCCGGTTCCTGCTGCCTCAGAGCAGGGGGGCGCTCGCCAGTGGGCCAGCTGCCGTCAGCTCTGGGTCTAGGGGGCTTTCCCTTTTCGAAAAAAGTTGAGATATAATTCGAGTACCACAAAGGTCACCCTTCTACCCAGTGTCCAGTTCAGTGGCTTTCAGTATTCACACTCGTGCATCTGTCACTGCTAATTCCAGAATATTTTCGTCACCCCCCGCACCCCCAGGAAAGAAATCTGGTACCATTAGCAGCCACTCCCCACTCCCACCTTCCACCAGCCCCTGACCGCCAAGGGTCTCCACTTTCTCTCTCTGTAGCTTTGCCTTTTATAGATATTTCATAAATTCACAAATGGAATCATATACTGTGCAGTCTTCTGTTGCCTGGCTCCTCCCACTTAGCCTGGTGTGTGCCAGGTTCATCTGGCACGGATTAGCACTTCACTCTTTTTTAAGGTTGAACCATGTGGTTATACTACATTTTGTTCATCCATAGTCATCTGCTGGTGGACAGTGGCTGTTGTGTGCTGAGCCCATCTCCTCAGTTAGCTGGAAACGCGGTACCTCATCTCGGAGGTGCCAAGGAGGGACCCGTGATGCTGTGAAGTGCCCAGGACTGGAATGGCTAAGGATGAGAGCCGTGTTTGCACAAGGGGTTCCTGGAACCCCAGGGAGGTCACAGAAGGAGCTGCGCCCTGAGGGGTGTGTGTTGGGTGAGCTCCCTCCAGTCCTGAGCCGAGGCCTCCTCCAGGCTGCGGAGAGCCTTGTACCGGCCTCCGCTCTGCTCCATGCAGAGCATTTTTATCTGCTTCGTATTTGGTTTCAGGGTACAGTTGTGTTTGCAGAGGCTAAAAACATAAAAATCGCTGGTCAGAAGGACAATGCTCTCTGGAGCAGTAGCTGACGGCGGCCTCTTTCCCCACCACTGCCAGACAGCACACGTTTTGGCTCCAGGTGTGCTGCTGGCCCATCTCCGCGTGGGCGGGCGCGTCCAGACTGAGAGGGCTGTTGGGAAGGGTCACAGGAGGCTTCCCTGGATCTCCGTGACTCAGAGCCGCCCCGGACATTGGCAGGAAGGAAGGGACATCTCTCCTCTGCCTGCCAAACGTCTCCAGGGCTGGCTGCGAATGCAGGCCGGAGAGCAGCACCCATTTGGTGCCAGGAGGGCACGGAAGGGCGTCCCGGGGCTGCTGTGACAACACAGGGTTGGAGACCAAACAGGCGGGTGGGATGGCCCAGCTGCTTCTAGGAGCTCTTCACGGAGCCACAGCCCTGCACACCCCAGGCACAGCCACCTAGATGGTCCCTGTCACACTGCAAAGGGCACCTCAGACTGCTCCGGGCCCCGGGCCTTGTGGAAACCATTTGGAACAGGGAGATACAAAAAGAAGCAGGAAATCTTGTTTCACGAATTCTGTTTTTAGAGCAAGTTGGGGTATGCTTGGACCAGACTGGGGGATCTAGTGCTGGGAAAGAAAGACTCCAGTGTTGTGGGGGATGTTCCCACTCTAAGCCGTGTCCTGTGCCCTGGACTCCTCCAGCTCCCTGCGTTTGGCTGGGGCTGCGAATGCGGTGAGACTCCAGTGTGCATGGGGGGTGGCCCCTGGGGAAGAGGGACAGGCTCTGTCTTCAGGTCCCGCCCGACTCACCTCCCAGAAAAGGAGGAGCGGGGCATACGGGCCGCTGGGCGTGGTGTGGCTTGATGACGTTCCCATAGCCCCGAGACCTCTCTCCCCCCGTCTCCTGCCTCCCCCTTCTGTTCTTCCCATTGCCTCACACGCAGTACAGCCCCAGTGTGGACAGCAGGTGGCCAGCAGTGTCCCGAGGCGGGCAGCAACCTCAGAGAGGACAACACTCACCTCCCAGGGCGTGCTCGGTCATACTGAGGCACAAGGACTCCAGCCTGTTGTTGATGTCAGGTTCGGTCACGGGAAGCTGGAATTCTGCAGGGCACAAAGGGTTATGTGGGTGACAAAGACTCTAAGAACAAAGAGAAAGTCCGTACAGTGCCATCTGGGGTGAGGGCCACCACCCCTCCCTGGGAGGACTTGGGGGGACTGTCAGGGTAAGCACAGAGGGCGGGTTACACTCAGATTCAACCAGCCTCTGAGGTCAGACTCACAGAGTCCAACGTGAACATGGGTGGCTGGAAGAAAGCTGGTGACTAAAAATAGCTGGTTATAGTCATAGTCTGTCAGTCTCCTGCTCAGAACTGTCCAGTGCCTCCCGATCAACGCTAACCCACCCCCTGCCATGGCCTGCAAGGCCCTACATGGTCTGGCTCCTTGGTAGCTCCTGCCCTTGTACAGCTCTCCCCTCCTTCAGTCCACCCCAGGCCCTCTTCTGCCCCAGGGCCTTTGCACAGCTGTTCCTGCTGCCCAGAATGTTGGGTCCTTGATATTTCCATGGGTCTCCCTCTTCCTGCCATGATATCTCTGGGTCTACTGTCTCCTTAGAAAGGACTTTCTATTCATTGTGTGTGAACAGATCTTTTCTGGCACCAACCCTTTCTTCTGTTTTATTTTACTTCGTAGCTGTCACAACATCTGACATATGTGTTTATTTGTTGCTTCCCCCAGTTGAGAGTTTGCCTCATTGGAATGGGACTTGGCTCTGCTCCCTGTGCCTAGACCAAGCCTGGCACATTTCTGTTACGTTACGAGGAGGAGCAAACGGAAACTGTAGCATGGAAAATGCTTCTTCTGAGTCCAAGACTCTACCAGCGCCCACTTCCCAAGCGGGGCTCGGAGAGGCTGTGTGAGCTGCCCAGGTTAGCCAGCTGACACAGAGCAGGGTCTGAGCCCCACAGGGGCCTGACCCCTGGGCCAGTCTCCCTGTCAACTCCCCACTGCAGACTGAGATGTCTGCTCTGCGGGTGCCCACTGCCCAGGGCAGTGCTGTGTGCATTCTAACCAGAGCCCTCTCTGCCATCCAGACCCAACCTGTCTCCCCTGGCTCCAGTCCCTCTTCGAGTGGGAGCCAGACCCTGGGGGCTCCCTCCTCTGTCCCACTGGGGCCTTCACTGTCAGCTTCTCCCTGGTCCCTTAGCCTACAGAGCTCTTGAATGTCCTTGACTAGCTTGGCAGTGCCTTGCAGACGGCGACAATGCTTCCGTAGTTCTATGAATCTCCCATAATAGCCCTGCATGGCCTTCTGCTCACCTCATACATGTCTACTGAGTGATGAGAAATGAAGCAAGAAATAGAAAGAAACCCTGACAACTAAGAACTGAAATCCTATGGCGGGGAGGCAGAAAAAAAACTAGCAGTGGGGTATGTTCTGAGTGTCTTGGAAGCCTCAACACTGCCCCGGCCTCCACACCTGACCCTGGGAAGCTGTTCTCCTCTTTGGGCCTTAGCTCTTCTACCTGAGTGCAAAGGAACCTGTGTCCCAAACTTAAGGCCATGTCCTTGCTCCTTCATATCTCCACCAGGGGGCGCTCGGGGCCCAGGGCTGGGGATTACAAATGAGTTGGTGGTTTGGTGGGATAGGAAGTTGAAACCAATGGCTAAACCAAAGTATTTGTTTTCCTTGGTTAGCTGTACATTTAAATATTCTTTGCAATCTGGGTTCCCCACTACCAGATCATTCAGAGGCAGGTGTTGATTCTGTTATTTAAACTTCTTAAAGAGAAGGTTTGCAAAATGGATCAGCATACCAAGCACTGGGGAACAGATAGGGTTCTTTCTGACAAGAGTTCTGGCACCAGTGGGCCTGAAGGACGACTGTGCCGGACAGTGGGGACCGAGGCCAACTGGGCTTCAGGGGAACCAAGAGGGAGAATGTAAGGGTCTCCCCGCCCCCATTCGCTGGACGCTGTCTGAGTAGGGTAGGGGCAATTAGACAATCCAGAGGGAAGAGTATTTTAGTATTTTCATCCATTCATGTGAAAATCATATGCATGCAAAAATTAGCAGCCTTCAGGGTGTGAAATCTATAAAAGAGAAACACAATTTTATATATAGCCAGTTAGCAAATATGAAAAAAAAAATGCTCGGCAATTATAGCCATCCATATGCTCATTGTAAAATTTAGTTTACTCTCTAGCACTTCCCTTTAAACAAACACTGTGGAGAGATTTGGATAAATAAAGATGCTCGGCATTTGGAGAGAAGTGTTTCAGCTGCAGGAGTTCTTGCCAACACGCAGCAAAATGCCATTTTCCAAGCCTGGGATTGCGTGTTCCAAAAAGGGGGCCGAGAAGTGCGGGGCTCTACGCGCCAGGATCCCCAAACCTCAGTGGCTGCTCTTTTAGGCTGGAAGTTGGCGTGCTTGCTTTTCACCCTCCAGATCCTCCCTCTGGTGCGCCAGGGAGTCCACGGCCCCGCCGCGCGGAATGGCTCTGGAAACTCTAAGTCTTGGGAGGAACACATATGTTCATACTCCCGAGTTCCCTAATAGTGTGACTTTTTAATTGTGTATTTGATAAAAACAGATCTGTGGCATCTCCCTGCACATACAAGATCTAGGGAGACCGGCTGGGTGGATAAAACAGCTTCCATCTTGGGCTCCGAGCTCTCAGCTACGGGTGGCTGGGTGGGCAGAGCTTTCGAGACCCTTGAGGAATGTCTGGGTGGCTCCTGCTCCGCAGGCCCACAGGAGCCCTGGGGTCCTATCCCGAGGGCTCATCCTTTGCAGTTGTGCTGGGCCTCCCGGCTGTAACGGGCAGACATAGTTTCTAGCTTTCTGTAAGGCAGAAAAGACTCTTTGAGAGCAAGTCTTCTCTGCTGTTGCCCAAAGCAGGCCTGTTTCTTCAGTTCAGATGCCATCTCTGAGTACCAGAAGTTCTCCCCCTCCTTTTCAGGTCATTCCAATATTTAGCGAGGCTCCCCAGCTCTAAGATGCCCAGGGCCTAGGCTGACGTGGGACTTTTTTGTGCTTTTGCAGAAGTCCCACAAGTATATTGCCCAGTGCTTAGGCCCAGGGTCAAGAAGATTCCAGGAGGGAGTGGGGCTGCCCAGCCTTAATGACGTGCTGCTGCAGGGTCCACTGGGGCGTGGAGGGCAGGCGGCTTTTCCTCGGCGGAAACTGGACATTCCTGCAGAATTTTCTGTCTGCAGCACCCGAGGTGCAATTCTGCATCTCTTTCAAAGCCTTGAAGCCGACGTGGGAGGCCAATTTCTTTAGGATTTTAGAAAAAGACAGGTCGGGCATTTTAGGAAAAACCCTTTAGAATCCCACTTTGCCAATGACAGTTGAGGCCACTCTGTTGGGTAACTAGGAAGGCTTTGAAGGTCTGGTTAAGTAAGAGGCAGGGTCACTGGAAGGAGATACACTGGAAAGACAGTCTGATGAGGAAGGGACAGAGGATGGGGTGTGGGGCTTGGGCTGATGGGTGGGGGCAGGTAAGGAAGAAAGGGAAATAAACCTGGGAACCAGGAAGAAAGGGGCAGGATGGTAACAAAAGGCAAAGAGATCAGTGTGAGCAGCAAATGGCATCAGAGTGGCAGGTAAGCTGGTAGTGACAGAGAGGTCACGGCAGGGGAAAGAGGAACGGAGTGACAAATGAGTTGCACCCCTGAATCTGTTCTGGGGACGGAGGCTTTTCTCTGGTGGCCTAGTTCCTGCAACTGCAGAAGGAAGTGCTGTGGAAATCCCCTGGGACCCACAGTATCACCAAATTATGATGCGTAGAATATGGCACAAGGAAGACAATAATACTTTATCATCTTGCCTCCAGTTGGTCTCTTTGAATTGGACTCTTGAATCAGGGGGGCACAGGCCCGGCTGGGTTCTCGGCTGCGACAGAATGGACTCATTTACCACCCTCCCCGAGCAGGGCCGTTTGCTTTGCTTATTAGAAAGTAGGGGACGAATATTTACTACGTACTTCATGTGGGTCCCGACTCTGCCTCTGGCTGGCAGCCCTTGCCTTGCCCGCTCATGGACCCAGGGCTCTGATGCACTTCCTTCTCGCACTCTTCCCGAAGGCAGTTCTCGGAATTGGGAAAACTCACTCACAGGAAGGAGGAAACAAAAGGTAGCGACCCAGGTGTGCGGCATTCTAATGGGGGAAGAATTCTAAGCATAAGCTTGTGCTTAGGGGAGGTGTGCTGTGAGCAGGAATGTCACCTATGAAATGCTGTTGCGGAAGGCGCTGCTGGATCCACTTCACATGGTGGGGGGCGGTCCAGCCCCAAGGGTTGTTTGCACGTGGTTTTGTGCAAGCGAAGGAATGAGATCTGCAGAATGTAGCCGGGTGAGGCGGGCAGCCCACCCTCCCCCATGCTTGCTCTTGGACGCCTGCCTCTGGCTTTTCCTCCCTTTCTCTTTCAGGCCCTTGGGGTGAGGAGGGGCCTCCCTTTCTCTCTCAGGCCCTCCAGGTGAGAAGGGGCCTCCAGCTTCCCAGTGTCGCTCCAGGCTGGACCCCGAGGGTGGCTGAGTCAGGTCAGCAGGAACATCGGCTTCCAAGATAAGACATCATCCTGCAAGCAGTTTCCAAACTGGTTTTTCAGTTGGGAAACACGCCGACTCTCAGAGGAAGGTGGCGACTCTCATCGGGGTGGTGCCACACTTGTCCTGAGTCCGAGTCACCTCTTGGGTGAGTCATCCGGCCCTGTGTTCCTCACTTTTGAGGACAAGTGCCCGAGGCCTGCAAGAGGGCATGATCACCAGTGATTCTCTCGGCGAGTCCTGGAGACATCTAGAACCTGTCTGTGTGCAAATAAAGTGAAAAACCACCCTGACACAGCTTCCAAGGGGCCACGGATGCTGTAGACCCAGGAAAGCAGCGAGTGCCTTGCAAATCGGAGCCAGGCAACCAATCAGCTGACGCACGACTTGGCTGGGTCTAGCCCCCAACCTTTACTCTAGTCTTTGGAGATATTTAAGGTCTTCCATCATCTTAACAGAATTATTTTAAGTTAACAGAATAAATAAAAGCTCCTTTAGAATGCTCTGTAGTCCTCAAGGTTTGCGCAGAGGGTTTAAATGTGGCTTCAAAGATACCCCACGGCCAGGAGGAAACCATGATGTTGGCCTGCAACACAGTTCTCCAAGTACTCAACTTTGGGTTGGTCCCGTGTCTCCATTCTCTGTTCGTGTTACTGCTGCTGTGTACACAGGAAAGCCACTTTCTGTCTTCCTGATTCCTGCTGCTCTGACATGACACTTCTGACAGCCCGTCCTGCCCGGGCCACCACCCATACATGCCTGGTTAGCTGCCCAGGGTGTGACGTCTGGAACAGAAAACCCATCTGCACAGGACACCCAGTGGCTGGCTCGGCTCTCAGACCCTGTCTCTGGAGGGTGAGCCTTTGTCCGGGCCTGGCGATGGCCGTGGCTGTGACAGAAGTTGCCTGTGGAGGAGGAGGAGGAGGCCGCCTTGGGCCGAAGGAAGCATTTCCGACAGTGATTCCTGGTCTTGAAAACCAGCGACTGATCTGCAAAGGCAGGAATGCACGAGGACCCTGGGCAGGGGCTAGGAGAGCATCCCTGGATCCGTGGCAGCAACCTTCTGCAGCCTCTGCTCCCTTCAGTGCGGAATCCTGGTCACAGCTGTGCCCTGCCTCGCCCTTCCTGACCCTGTCCCCAGAAAAGCCACACAGCCTGGGCAGAGCATGCGGGGCGGGGTTTAGGAGTGGCCCCTGCTGAGTGTTCACCAATGCATCTGCAATTGGGAATACGGAGTAGCCCTGTCTGAGTGAGTGCCTTGGCCATCATTAGAAACCCTGCGGGTCATTAGGGCCTTGCTGGAAGTGGGTTTGTAATGCTTGGGTGAGAGGCTAGCAAAAAAAATACAAACCCAAGTGTTTCAGAATCCAGGTCCAGTGTGCAAAGAACATTATTAGAGACTTAGACACAACTGCCAGGAATACGGACAACAGACTGTTATAAGTAGCTGCCTCTGGGAAATGGGACTGTGGGCCTGGAGCGGGGAGGCATGGGGGATGGTCAATTTTCCTTGCAAGCCCTCCCCCCTTCCATATCATTTGATTCTTTAACTATGGGAACAAGAGGCCGCACCGGGAAGAGGGTGGGAAGACTCTCCAGCCACAGCTGCCCTGAGCATGAGCGGCAGCACCGCCGTGCAGCAGTGCAGGCAGACGGAGGTGCACTTGGGGGATCCGTGGCAATGGACCTGAACAGTCCTCCTCCCCGGAAAGGCCCAGCTCTTTCCGGGGGCCTGGTCTTCCCAGTTAAGCCAGGAAAAGAGAGGAAGACTGAGGGCTTGGAAGAGAGCTGCAGGGAAGGAGAGAGAGGTTACGAACCACAGAGAAGGCTTCGTGTGTGCCGGGGCTGGAGAGCCCTCATCTGTGCTGGGGCTCCTGTGAGGCTGCCAGGCAGCTGGGGGGGCAGTCCAGGGACCGGGGCTGGGGTGGGACAGTCATTCAAGGCCACGGACCGCCTCGTGCCCAGGACGCCTTCAAGCCTTGTCCAGATTCTCTGTTATTGGGAATGGATTAAACATAATTCTGCATGATAACAGAGGCTGGGACTATATAACCCAGAGAGAAGGCCTTCACCACCCTTGAACTTTATCAAGTATTTCTGGCTGGAAAGAAAAATTGCTGCAAATATCAAAATGAAGAAATGAAGCTTTAAAACAAGAGTGGGCAAATACAAAGAGTTCTAGAAGTTAAGAAGTAATTTTAAACAGCATCTGGGCCATGCAGACGCCCCTTCCTTTCCTGACACACCTTACCCCATGGCGGCTCCACGCGTCCGCCATCCTCCTGCTGCTCCTTATCCGTGTCCACTGCCCGCCCCGCCCCGCCCCCACCCCCCCCCCCGCCCCGAATCCTGCCTCCCCTTCATTCCTCCAGGCACACTCTTGCCTGACCCCCAGCCCCAAATCTTCCGTAAAGTCCCCACTGACACAGGACAGGCTCTGAGCTCCTTGGCCTTGTATTTAGAGTCCCCACCAATGGGCACCCTCTTCCCAGCTGCCTCGGTCTACCCACTGCTACTTCAGCCCAGCAGCGGCTTCCGGGACTCACGGTGGCCTCGGCACCCCTGCAGTCCCGCTCTCCTGTTCTTTTCGTCTGCAGCGCCACCCTCCTCTTTCCATCTCTTCACCTCTGTCCTCTGCACTCAGCTCCAATTCCAAGAAGCTTCCCTGCCCATCCAAGGCCACAGTGACATTTCCCTCCTTAAGCTCCTATAGGACGTATTGCACTGAGCGCACCTATGGCCCGGGGTGGGCATTTCCCACGGGCGGATACGTGTCTGGTTTGCCCGCCTACAGAGCAGTCTAGGTAGGTGCCATGACCGCTTGTGTGGCTGCGTGTTACTCCTTGAGTCTAAGAGGTCGCCGTCTGCATAGAGAAAGCACTTGCCGGCTGCGTGTAACCCTGGCTGCCCTGTTTTGGGGGCACTGTGAGAGGTGAGATGGGCTTGAATTGTACATGCTGCCCTTTGACCAAGGAAAGGAAAGGTGGCTGGTCCCACAGTCGTGTTTGCGAGGCACTGCCACACTGGGGAGGGTCCCTTAGCATCAACACAGTCATGTTTTCTTTGTCTTACACCTGTCCCCACAGCACACGGACCCCCTCCCATCCCCCCTGGAAGCCCTCCGGTGGCATCTCTGGTTTAATCAACCTAGAACTATGACTGCTATCAAAACTGTCCCTGCCAGACCACAGCGACGCCGGGGCTCCTCGTGCTGGCGCCCAGCCAAGCAGCCGCTGTCCGTGCCGGCAAGGCACGGTTTAAAAAAAGAAAGGCTGCTATAAGCTCGTAAGAATGTACGGTGACAGTCAAGGCCAAGCGCTTTCCAGCTGGGTTCACCAGGGCATCTATTTTGGCGTCCTGGCCTCCTCTCTGCGTCAGGGGAGAGGACAGTGGGAGATCAAGCTCCGGGCCCCACCTGGCTGCTGGAACATCAGCATGTTCTGGGGGGAGGTGTGCACAGGCAGCGAGCGGGTCCTCTGGACTGAGCTGTGGGTGCGGCTCGGCATGCTGTTGCTGCCCCCGGGGTTCGCGAACCAGAGGTTCTAGTGAGAAGCACAAAAGGGGAACCATGAGTCCAGACACCTAGGGGTGGGGGGAGTGGGGGTGGGGAGCAGGGCCCCGGCCGGAATTCAGGCCACCAATGCCCCAGGGAGAGAGGGCTTGCCTGCGGGCCAGCGGTGCCCATCTGCTTACTTACAGAGAGGAATTTAGGTTCCGCTCATTCTGCGCACACACCCGCCCCCAATCCCGGCCCCTCTCTACACCTTGGTTTGACCTGGGCACCTCTCTCCCTCACTGCCTCCAAACCCTTTTTGTCCCTTCTGTTGCCTTCCTGTCTCCTGTCGTTTTCTTGGAAATGTGGCAGGTGGGGGGTGGGGTGGGGGAGAAGGAGCAGCCTACAAGCATTAGCAACAGAAAGCACCAACTATTTCAGGGCTCTCATTTGATTTTTCTTCGAGATTCTTACAGTTTACTACAAAACAAGGGGGAGAAAAAAGAACCTCCCAGCTGGCAAGGAGGTGGCACAACCCAGCTTGTGTTAACTGTTACCGGGCATCTCAGTGGGGACCTCCCCTTGAACTGATCTGGGGGTCGCCCGCCATGACCAGCAGGTGGGTCTTTCTCAGACTCTGCTGCTTTCCCTGGGGAGTGAATCCCGCCCGTCTTGCCTGGAGCTGTTTTCCTGTTTTCCAATCCATCTGTCATCCCTGAATTTCTCAAGACAACCCAGCACCTCAGACCCTCTTGTGTCCTTCCAATCCCAGCCCCAGCCTGCATGGCATGGCAAGGCTGGGGGCAAACAGCAGGAAGGCACTGGGCAGGGTCAGGGGGGGGCAGGGAGAGAGGAGGTGAGGGACAGAGGTCGGCTGCACCTCACACGGTGAGAACCTCTGTGTGGCCTGGCCTTGACTGGCTGAGAGTGTTTCAACTCTCCCTCTGACATCCTCTCTCTCAGCTCCTTTCTGTGGATTTTCCACCATAGCTGGGAATGTGGCAAAGGCTAAGAAAGCTCCTTAGGTGTTTGGGCTTCTTTGGAACCCAGATTTGGGAGGTGGTGAGGCCTGCTGGGGCAAGTCAAGGGTCGAGGCAAATGACAACCAGGTCTTAAATGTCTTTCTTAAAGGGGCCCCCAAAGTTAAAGTGGTCCCAGGGGCATCCTAAGCAGGCCTCCACGAGGCCAGGTGCAGCCCTGGCCTTGATCCGTCCCCCAGAGAGCCAGTGCAAACGACGCTGGGTGCCGCAGAGGACGGAGACAGCTGTCTCTTGGTTTGGCCCTCCTGGGTTTCTCCCCTCACCTTGGGGTCATCTAGGGAAAACACGCTGAAGCGTTAGCCCTGAGTGGGGCGGTCCACCCTGCTCCCTGGGGCGGCACCAACCTGTCTTCCTTGTTTCATGATGGGATTGGCCGCGGTGTTGCGCTGGGTGGAGCTGACGAACCCACTGGTGCCCAAGAGGCCAAGGCGGGCGGAAGGGACGTTCCGAGAAGGGATCTGGTACTGGCGGGGGTTCCGTCTGCCCATGCCGCCGCCCACAGAGCCGGCCGTCGGGAGGGAGTTGGACTGCCCAAAGCCGCGACTGTGGGGGCGAACAGAGAACAGGAGGAGCCTGGGTCCCCCTAGAGCTTCTCACCCTCGAAGCTGCCGGTGGGACGCCTCCTGGGGTTGGCTCGCATTTTGACAGTTAGGAGGCTTCTGGGGCAACCTGGGCTCTGAACCAGGAAAGGTTCAGAGCGCGAATATTACGTGCACCGTCACGGCACTTCTACACTGATTCTTCAACCCTCGCAACAACCCTATGAGGTAGGCACTCTGTCCACTTTTATTGGCAGCTGGAGAAGTAAAGCAGAGCTTAAGGGTTTCCCCCCGAAAGTCGCACAGCCAGTAGGGGGCAGTGCTGGCAGCCCCGAAATTGAATCAACAAGCGCCTGGGCCTTCTTCCCAGCTGCGTCACAGGACCCAGAGCTCTCATGCCCGTCAGGAGGCCACACAGCGAGAAAGCGGCACAGCCAGGCGCAGTGATCCTGCCAGCGCACCACAGTCTTTCTGTCTGTGTGGCGGACTCGGAGAGCGTGGCTTGAGCGCCCCATGGGACATTAGCTCGGCGAGGAAAAGGACGGTGTCTTTCCTCCTCCAATCTGCATGTCCCGCAACTGAATCGGCCCCTGGCACAGTAAATGCAGGTGGAATGAATGAATGAATTGACCCTCTGCCTCCATGATGCCTCTCCAGATGGAGGCGTAACCCCACGTCTGGGGCTCTGACTCTGGGTACAGAGCAAGGATATGAGAATGGGGGTGGTGTGTGTGCAAGCGCCCTGGACTTAGGACCCTCAGGCCCTCCGTGCAGAGACCCAGAGGTTCCATGCTTCCCCCGGACTCAGGCAGGAAGGCTGCTGGAGACCCTGGCATCGCACTGGGACGCTGTGCTCCCATCGCTCCTGTGACCTCATCGCCAAAGAACGCGTCCTCTCTAACATGCCTCAGGTTCTGGGAGGGTGTGCAGCAGCCAACGGGGTTTCAGGAACCAGCACATTCTTTCCAAGAAGAGTCAGCTTTAGTCATTCACTGATGTTCAAGTCCGAATGCTTTACCTTCAACGGCCACAAGATGGAACAGACTTGCTTTCCCAGCCGTGCAGGGGAGGTTTGTACCAGGCCTGCGAGGAGGAGACTCCGAGAGCAGGGCTGACGTAGTTGAACCAGCTGAGGGTGATGGGGTGGGGGTGGGGGTGGGGGGTCCTGCAAAAACAGTCATTTCCTGAGAGAGAGTTGTGCGTGCATAGGGGGAGGGGCATCTAAGCCTTCAGCACAGTTGATCTCAGAAAATGTTTCTCTTCTCCCCAGAATTCCTACATTTCCTAGGGAGAAAAAGGGAGCAGCGAAGAGAATACCACGGGGAGCTGCCCGCACCGGACTTCTGGGCCGCGTCTGCCCATTTGCAGGCATTTGTGGCCCAGGAAAGCTGCCCGCCCCGGCCCAGGCTCGTCCACATGTGGTGAGAAGGGGGCGCTCACGGGTTCTGGGTCTCTTTGTTTATCTCCTCCTTCCTCCTTTTCCTTCCCTTCTTTCTTCTTTGACTAAGGTTTAAAATGCCCAATTTAAAAGAAGAAATTTAAGCCAGGAGGAATAGGAGTAATTTCTTGTGGCCACAGCAGAGTCCTCTTCTGGAGGAAGGACAATCGGATGGAGTGACAGGTGGAGAGCAGCCGTGGTGGCTTTTTTAAAAAATTGTGAAACTAGGCCTTTGGTGTTTGGAGTCAGAACTGTGGCCACCTGGTAGATGATTCAGTATTCTGCTAAGACTTTTCCTTATTTAGTGCGAATGGCTCTTTTTTGGGGGGTTTGTTTTCCTTTTTTGGTTGGGCTTTTAAAAAGTTATTTCATATGCAAAGTGCAGTAGTCAATGAATGATGCTAAAATGATTTGTGTTTTCGGGAAGGAGAGAATGTATCTTAAGCAATATCATGTGGGTAGAGAGAGGGTTCTATCCTGGGACACTTAGTCACTGGAGGAATGAGGGCTCCAGGCGCTCCTGAGGGTAGGGCTCACTGGGCAGTATGTGGCTGCAAATCCCAGAACGTTCTGGGGACGTAATGGGTGGGGAAGGGGAGAGTTTGGCTGGGCCTTCTTTCTAATGCCGGTAGCGCCCCCTCCGTGGCGTCTTTAACTGGTTATGGCAAAGCCAGTGCTGTTGAACACTGCCACTGCCAGCAGCCAGAGTGAACACTTAGGTTACCTAAGATCACTAGGCTTAATGAAATAATCGCTGTTTTGGGGGAGAGAATAAAGTGACAAAAGTACATTTTCATTCTCTTGCTCCGTCAGCTGTGTCTCTCTTTCTCTCTGCCTTCCTAAATGCAACCAACTTATTTCATAACCTTGAAAGTCATGAAGAGACTGAATAAGAACCAATTAATCTGGGATTTGTGATAATTCAAGCAGGGGCTGGGCTGCAGTTACCTTGTATTATTGGAGAAACACAGCTTCAAAGCAAATTAATAGCATATAAAGATCCCAGAGGTTACACTTAGGAGAACAAATTACTTTCTAGAGCTTTAGCAACCTCCATCTGAACATCTACAATCAATGACTGCAGTCATTCTTACCTAATCGGTAAAAGGAGCTCTAATCTGGCAAACCTGGGGTTAGCCCAATACATGCTTTCGATAGTAACACTCGAGAGAGGTCAAGGTTAATGGGAACTCTGATGTGAACCAAGGACAAGGCAGGGCAGACAGAGGCAGGGAATGAAAGTTCTGGGAGGAGCCGCAAAGAACTTAAAAGCTCTGTCTTCATCTTCAACTTCTAGATTCTTTCTTCCTTTTAGAACTTGTCTCCCAATGGGTTGGTGTTGCAAGATGGGTCTGGAACCTCCTCCTTTTCCTTGGGAGAAGTCCTGCTGCCTTTTACAAGGAGACAGTGAGCCTGGGAAAGGGGTAGCCCAAGAGGAGGAGGCTGAAGAGCAGGCCTGGCCTTTCTTTCGGGTGCAGAGGTGATCCAGGAAGGCCACCCCGGAGGGGGGTGGGAAGGAGAGAGTTGCTTGACATGCCCATCTTTCCTGTATAGGCGCCAGAGGCCAGAGAGCTGCCTGGCCTCCAGAGCAGTGAAGAGCATGGACTGTGGAGCTGGCCTCCCTGGTCGGGATCCTGGGTGCCACTGCCTGCCAGCCGCTCTGTGAAATCAGGTTAACAGTAGCTCCTCTACCTCATATGGTTGTTGCAAGGATTAAATGTACTAATATTCTTAAAGCGCTTGGATACCTCTTGGCATGCAGTGCTAAATATTTGTTTGAGAAGTAATGGTGGAATATGATAATTTAATTTTAACATAAATCTTTAATAGAGACTTTTCACAAATTCCAATTGGCCTTACCTCTTTTAAATAATATAAAACAGTGATGTTTGGAAGCACACTTATGCAAATAAGTGTGAAAGATTTTAACAACACCAAACAGAGCTTCCTATATGCACCGAGAAATGAATTTGGAACTTTTTAGGTGCAAGTGAAAACATTATTATTTATTTGCTCATCTTTAAAAATGTAAAATAGAATGTTGATTTTTTTTAGGGTGTTTGCATGGTCATTCCCTTGTCCTCCCCAAACTCCCTGTCTTTCTTCAAGGCTTAATCCACTAGACCGTCATTCACATTCACCTGTAATATGCAACTGGATCCCTCAGTTTAAAGCCAGATTAAGGTAATGGGGTCTAAAGTACAATGAAGCTTATTTTTAACTGCATCCAAGAAGCCGAAGTACTATGAAAAATCAAGAATGGTGCTGCTCCACTCTTAGATTGCAGCTCAGACCAAAATAGACTAGCACTGGGCTCTTCACCCTGCCACCAACTATAATTAGCTTGTCTGCAGCTAGGAGAGAGAAAAAAATTACACTACCACTTCAGGTGCTGATAGAACGATCCGTTTTTGTCCTTTCAGAACCCCCTTTTGGGGATGAACTGCCAGGTATTCCACTGGCATTCATTAGATCGTACCCGCTCTCTGCATCTGGACGACTAACACTGTCATTTTGACAATGTAAATTGAGTTACAAAAGATCGCATTCAGCTCTTCCTGTGGGAATGCTTTCCCTCCACAGCCTTTCCCAACCCCACCTGTTTGAGGAATGCGACTTGGAACCCGCCCCAGGGCACCCTGGTGAACGCAGAATGCCCTGCCCAGTCCTGCCTCAGGAACCCAGGCAGGAACCTGGAACCGCCCTGCCTTGCAAAGAATGGAATCCCAACATACTTTCTCTGCTGTCGATATCCTGATATGTCTAGAAGGGTTTTCCGAGGGAAAGACCGAAAGAGCTTCTGCACCTGCTGTTTCCATGACAACAGTCTTTTTTTCTGCGTCTCTGTAAATGCCTGCAAAAACAAACAGGACTTTTTAATGGGTGACGCAGCCTGGCATTAGAGAGAGAAACATGCAATTAATAGGGGAAAACATTGGCGTCTCTGCAGTTGCCTTTTTTTCACCTGTTTCCAACCCGGTTCAAACAGCAGTCAGTTTTATTTGTGAGCTGCCTGTATGGAAAATTCAAATTACTTGGCATTGGAGGTGCCTGGTAAAGTACATGCATTAAGCTTTTGATAACCCTCAGTTTTGGTTGCATTTCTGGCAGATCCATACCCACCTTCCTTTTCCTCTGACTCCAGTCTGGACTCAATTTATTAACCAAGAATAAATTGCAAAATTGATTGTTGAATATGCTGGCTTTTGCAGGCCCCCTGAATTTTCATAATCAATGGAAATGCTAAACCACTCCAAAAATCAATTTGCTTGATGGTGTGTGGACACCCTGAGTGGTTAGCTGTGCTTTAGAAAATGGAGTATATACTCTCCGGATTTTAGGGCTCGGCTGGGAGATCTCTGATTAGGGGATCCCATGCCTTACCAACACCCCGGCGCACGTCCAAACCTACACGTTGTCTAAAGTTTAGGAAGATGGGTAGATCCGATGACCCCTCACGTCTTTTCTAGTAAAACTGGTGTTTGGGGGATGTTTTGCCTACTGCCCTGTGATACATCGTCACATATACCATGTCTCCTGTTGTGAGCACCACGGCCCAGGGAGGGACTTTCAGGGGTTTTGTGTCTCCAGAGCGGGGACTCTCAAATTCATGGTCTACAGACTTCCCCGAAGAGAAGTCGGCATGCAGGTTCCAGGGCCCCGTCCTCCACACCCAGAGCCTGCCTTAACAGATCTGGGAGGACTCAGGGGGTTGTGTTGGCAGCAAGTATCCTGGTACTCCTGTTGCCGGAAGAACTTGGTCATGGAGTATTCTAGAGGGTGCGGAGCGCACGCAATATAGGAATCTCCTGTCAGGTGTCCAGAGCTGTGGTCCACACGCTGTGGGAAATCCATCAGATTTGACAGATGAGCATTAACAATGATGGAGAGAACACGCCTAAGTAGTTTCGTCAATAAAGCATAAAATTTAAGTAGCAATAAACTATTACTTAGAATAACAGACTACATGACTATATTCCATGAAGGTAATAGATTCCTGAAACAGAGAAAAAAATGACAGCTTAATTTTCTCACGATGACATTGAATCTTTAAGGACCTAAACACAGGAGAGCTATGTGAATGAAAGCAAAAAGTGTTAGTCATGTTGCGTAAAAGTTACTCACGGGCAGAGCCTTTCCTCCTGGGTGACCTTAGCCAGGCACCATTAAGGGTATTCATCAGGGAGGGCTACCAGCCCAGAAACCTAGTGCAGACCCCCCTCTAAGGTGAGTGGCGGACGGTCTCATGGCCCAAAGTTAAGGATGTGGTTCTCTTCCAGGGTCTCTCTCATTTGGTGGTGGTGCTTGGCGAGTGTCCAAATGCACTTGAGCACCTCTGAAAACAGCAACAGGCAAACCCCTCTGCTGGACTAATAAAGGGAAGGGCAGATTTTTGCTTCCGACCGGCTTTATCCAGCCCAGTGGTGAGTGAGGACACAAGGTGCAGGCGCCGAGGTCAAGATGACCTGAGGAGGAGGGTCCAGCCCTGGGGGTCAGAGAAAGGCCCTGGATGCATGTGGCAGGCGTGAGTCCCACACACCCTTACCCGAGTTCCTCCACCCAAGACTGTTCTTCCCCAGACTGAGCATAGTAACATTCCCCTCAAAGAGCCACTGTCAGGTTTAAATGAGCCAACACCTGAAAAGCACTTAGAATGTGTAGCACATGCCTGGCTCTTAGCAGTGACTCAATACACGCTGCTTACAGATACTCTGACCCGACCTTTTCAATGGCACAGACCAGCCCTTTGGTGGTACGTACATGATGGCTCATCACGGTCAGTGTTCAACAGGTACCTTACTTAGCCCCCAGCAAATGAGTTCAAGGTCTTAAAACTAGAGTACTGAGCTGGTCTGCAGCCAGCCTGAAGGACAGCCTGAGTTTCAAGTGACAAAGTTTCCCTTTATAGATGCGCATTTAAAGAGTTTCCACGTATGAACATCAGTTCATACATAACATCTCCCATGGTGGCAAAGAGCACCCAAAAAGATGGAAATGTAGACACCTGCTCCGAGAGGTCAGCTCATTCACTCAGCACGGGGGCACCAGACTCACACAGTTCCAGGCTGCGGGCAGGAGCAAGCCCCTTAGTGGTGCCGAGTGAGCGTGGTGGCCGGTTCTCCATCCCGGAAGCTCAGCGGGGAGGCGCAGAGAGGAGCCGGGTCACGACTGGCTCAGAGGGCTTTCTGAAAGCCGGCTCCTGTGCATGCCTGCCTGCACTGTTGCTGTTGGCTGGGCTGGCCGACACCACACCTCGGCCCCTCTGCTGGCCGCGCTGGGCTGGGCCAGAGGGGAAGGAGGACTCCACACTGCAGACCGCCCAGACGCAGCCAGTCAGCCACCACTGAATCTTCTCTCCCTGTCAGCCCCAGACCAATATGTCTGTCTGGAGGAGGATGTGTCCCGTGGCTTTTGCGGCTGGATGAAAAGCCTCATAAAGGGGACAAGAGCTCATCTTCCTAGAACTGTCTCAAGACAGCGAGGAGGCAACACTCCTGGGGTTACAATCCATGAGATGAAGGGACTGGTCTCAGATACAAAATTCAGAACTTTCCTGTCTTTTCTTTGACTGCTCTGGGGAGTCAGTCCCTGCATCCCCGGGGAGAAAGTCAGGCACCGTGGAAGTGTCCATGAGCCCCCCTTCTAGGCAGCTGTGAAAGGGAGCCCTGTCTCGGGAGCCCAGGCTAACCTCCGGCCAGGATGCAGGCTGCACCCCCGCGGGCCTCATGGGGAGCGTGTGTTCTGCACATGCAGAATAACCTGAGGCTATGGAAAATTATTCAGATGTGTTTCCTCTTTCTCGAACTGAAATAATAAAAAGGTTTGAACAACATTTTCCTTTCCAAAGCAGAGTGCGGGCACCTCTATCCTGACAGTAGTTCAGGCAAGCAGACCCGGCCCAAGCTCCTTTCTGCCCACGACTCCTGTTACCGAGAGACCCTTCTGCAGCAGTGGGGCCTCCTGCTGGCAGATGAGTCCACACAGTGCCATCTTTGCACTGAATCACTTGGGCAACCGGGGAGGAAAAGTGGAAGGAAGCAGAAAGAAGAGCCAGGATGCCAGTGGAGGGCATGACGAGGCAGGACAGGGAGAGGAATCAGGCCACAGCTTTGGGGCTGGTGCAGACCAACGAGGAAGCTGGGCGCTGTCTGGCCGAGGCAGCTGGAGGACTCGCTACTTTGTCTCGTGGGATCAGCAGACTTGAGGCGAGAGGTGGAGGTAACTTGCCCTCTCGTGTCTTAAAAGCTCAGTGCTGAGAGTGAGCGTGGGAGAGGAAGCAGGGACCTTGTTTGCTTTTTCAGAAGTGTAAAGGCTCCCTTTAGCATCCCTCTGGAAATCCACCTTGAAGGTCCTCCCCTAACAATGCACAGAAGGCGCTGCCCTCCCTGCCTGGAGCGCTCCTCCGCCTCCTTCCTTAGTCCCTGCCACAGAGACTCAGCTCGCCTGTGCCCTGAAACGTAGCTTACGGGTGGTTTCCCTCTGAGGAAACGCCTGTTTTTGCCCCTGGTGGGTGCTCACCACTCCTTGTCTGGGTTCTAGATGCCCCAGGAGGGCCTCATCAGAGGCTTTATCATCATGTGTGTGATTACCTGTCACAACGTAAGCTGCCTAGCCTGGGCCAGGGTGCTTAATCCCTAATAAATATCAGTGGAATGAGTGAGCTCTAAAATTCGTCAATGTGCTCTTCATTCTGCAGCTTTCTGCTGGTCAAAACGAGTGCAGGGGCGGACTGGAAACAGAGAAGGGTTGAGTCAGGGTTCGGGAGAGGTGCACACAAGGACTGATGCGGCTGCGAGAGAGAACTGCAGGAACGAGAGAGGGTAGGGGGTAGAGGAGGCGTGGCTGGGGTGCAAACCCAGAGGGAGACTGGACACCTGCGGGGAGGAGGGCGGAGGCAGGCCGCGGAGGTGGGGCTGGAGAACTGCCCACAGCAGCAGGAGGGTAGGGGCCAGACCGTTGCCCTAGGTATCTCCCAAACTGGGCCGACTGGACTCCTGGGGTGCTGGCTGCCACTGTGGCAAAGGCGAGGAGGCTTGGAGGCCTTTACCATCTTATCCTCATGTCAAAATCCCACAGAAGGAGCTCAGTGCCCTGGATGTACCCAGTCCTAAGTGTCCTAAGGCCTAGACTTTGTCTCTGTGGCTCTCTGGAGGAGAGTTGCCAAAGAAGCCGTTGGGGTCATGGATCTGAGGCACAACCACCTGTCCCCACAGGTCACTTGGGGCAGCTGAGACCACTACCGGCCTCGTCGTGAAGGCTGCACTAGCTTTGCGAGTCTGGCCGGCCTGCCTCCAGCCTGCCTCGGTTACCCTTCAGAAGGACGTGTGGCGAAATACGATTCCCACAAAACTCACAAATCCAAACCCAGAAGAATGGCCGTGAAAACACACAACACACACACATTATTTCTTCTGCACAGTCCTCCTCCACCCCGCCCTCAGATTCCCTGGAGCCAAAAGGCAAAACGTTTCAAAATAAAACTTCTGAAAAACTTGAAAAGGTCAAGGGCCAGGTGCAGGACTGTGTGCTAACCACGCCCCAGCCTCCACCCCTCAGAGATCGTTTCCGAGTCGGAAGTTTTTCCCCAGCCTTCTCCCTCTAACCAGAGCTCAGTCTAGATGAATCCTTGGACGTCTAAGTAACATACAAGTTGCGTTTAGGCCACCACGATGGAGCTATGATGACAGCTGCCCCACAAAAACAAGTTGGGGGAGACCCAAATGATCCCGTCACAGACATGCTGAGAACCATGGCTAAGCAATGAGAAAAAAGCTTCGTGAAAACTGTTACAACTCACCTCATGAATCAGACACTTGTCTATGAGCTGCAAATAGGAACTTATATTTTCCTCATCAGGTCTGGAGACCAAGAGCTGTGTGCACACTGTGTGGAAAAAGAAAGGAAGATGCATTAGAAAAATGCACACCCACCCTAACCTGGCGACCTGCCTCTGCTCTCCTCTCAGGACTAATACTTCCGAGGTATGTGTGCCAGTGGCTTTACGGAAGGCTCACAAAGAGGCCAGGAGGCTCCTCATTCCACTGAAGTCACAGCCGCGGTCACCACGGGAGCCCTCGCCTCGAGAAGCCCCTTTGATTGATTCCAGGCATACCATTCTATATTAAGCCTTCTGCAGTCCTTCCCAGACAGACACTCTGGGAGAGGAAGAACGCAGCAGTGTCCTGAGCTCTGTCTTTGAAAGAGGCTCCCTTTGACAGGGAGTTCAAAGGCATCGAAGACCATCGCTGTTATCAGAGAGCAGTCTCTGTGGTTTTATGAATGAACTGCGCCCCTTATTTGGAGGAATCAAGCTGGCTGGTGCTTTAGGACGTGAGGTGTGTGGGCACACCCGTGAGCGGGAAGCCTGCTCCTCCATCATTGGAGGGTTATTTCTCAAAGTGATACTCGCATTTATGCACAGGCATCAAGACCTGGGCCCCAGGGAGGCCCCGGGCCGTCAGGTGGGAGGGGCGCTCTCCCACCCAAAGGGCTGTGTGTGCATCCTGCCCTGCGCTGGAGATGCAGGCACTGCGTGGCCGTGGTGCCTGCGTGGTCCTTGGGTGGTCTGGGCTGACTTTGGCCCAGCGATTTTCAACCGGTGTGTTGTGACCATTTAAAAAGCATGCAGTACCTGACTGTTTTAGTCAGGGGCACTGACCTCTTTTCCCTTAGATTGTCAAATAAAAAAGTGACAACAGCCAATACAACAACAGCTGTCCGGTGTGAATGAATCAAAAGTATACCCGTGTTTTTTGTCATATCAGCAAAAAGTACATTTTTTGGTGTGCAGTGGAATTTCAGTAATAGGTTTATGTACGCCATGAGCTGAACAAAGTTGAAAACCGCTGCTGTAGCCTGAGGGTGCAAGGCCCAGTGAGCACTCTTCCAGGGGGTGCCCCCGCAGCCCTGGTCTGGGGGGGTGGGAGAGACCTGAGTTCAGAACCAAATACCTTCACCCCTTAGGACCACACTTCCTCATCTGCAAGGTGGGCTAACACACGGACTGGGGCGGGCAGGTCGCCCAGCACCCAGAAGAAGCCCCTTGGGACTGGCAGCTCTGGTTAGTGGTGCTGAGAGAAGAGAAGGGGCAGGTGGGGAATCAGGCTTTACCTTTCCCCATGACACGGGTGAACTGCCCTGGCAGGTCCCCCTCAGGCAGGGGGGCGACAGCCATCTCCCCGTCACAGCTGCTCAGCTGGTGTGGCTGGAGCCCGCCGCTGGCCCCGGCGGAGGTGGTGGTGGCCGCCACACCGTCCTTGCAGTTGGGGCTCTGGCTCTCGGGGCCCATGAGTGAGGGCGGGTGAGGGTGCGGGGCCTCCGGGGTGGCGCTCGGGGAGCCGTAGGCCTTGATGGGGGTCAGGATCATCTGGTGCAGCTCCTGGAGAGGGATGCGCAGGTTGCCCCCCTCGATGATGTCCTGGACGGGGAGAGGGAGAAAGCCTCCGTGAGGGTCTGGGAACCCACCTCCGATGCCTCCCCGCCAATCCGAGCTGTTCCCAGACAGGACTAAGCGCCCCTTCACTGTAACGTTCTTTGGAAAAGCAACCATGTTAATTTGATCATTCTAATACTAGCCCAGGTAGAAAACTTGGACTGTACAGAGAGGTACAGTGAGGAAAGTACACATCAGCTGAAAACCCCACCACCTAGAGATGATTACTGAAGGGATTTTGGTCCGTTTCCTTCCCTGACTTCTTTAGTGCCTCTTTATAAAACGCATTGCTACAGTTCACCCTCACACACTCCGCTGTATAACAGAGTTGGGTCCGACGGTGGCCTCCTGTCCTGAGTGCCACTGGTTTTAAACGGAGGAATCTGACCCTTCATGCCTTCGTTCAGTCCCCCATGAAGAAATCGCAAGGTAGCGGTAAAAGCACAGACTCTAGGGTGGGTGTTGGGCTTCAAATTCCGACACCACTGTGCTCCCTTGGGTAAATGACTTAACCTCTCTGTGCCTCAGTTTTCCTGTGTATGAAATGAAGATAACACTTGGACCTGCCTCACCAGGTGGTTGTGATGATACTCATTTTTGTAAAGCTGCAGGTCAGTGTCTGTTTTCGTGTCCTGTGCTTCTTTGTTAGATGAATACGTTAGCCCCCGTGGACCAGGCACTGGGCCAGGCACGGGAGTACCACGGGAGAGCCTTCAGGGTTCCCTCAGAGCGTCTACCCCTGCCACGAGATGAACAGTCACTGTGCCAGAGGCTGAGGTGCTGTGAGGGGAGGCTCTGGGGGGGGGGGGGTGACGCTGGAGCAGGAATCCAAAGGAGCCTGGGCATGAGGGTCCTGGGAGAAAGCACTCCAGGCAGAGGCCGTGGCAGAGGCAAAGGCACGGAGGCGGGAGCGTGCCCACAGTGGGAGAAGAGCAGCAGGGAGGCCCACAGGAAAGCAGGGCGGGCGAGGGGCGGAGGGTGAGAAATGGGATCAGAGGAGCCTGGTGGGCCTGGGCGTGGAGGCCTGCAGGCTGAGGCAGGGGCGCAGGAATGTCTTCTAAATGAATGGGAGACCAGGGAAGGTTTGTCACTGGGCCATGACGTGTTCTGCATGAATCATCCGAGGGAGAAAGACGGGTAAGAAAGGTGTGCATTATGATGTATATAACTGCATACACTATATACACAACTTTATAAATGAGATCCTTGCGCACATGGAATTTGATATACTGAGCATTATATATTAGAAAAAGCAGTGGAAGTTGATTCTGACAGGCATTTGCCTTCATGCCAGTTGCTCACGGAGGCGCAGAACGGGCTCGACACCTGTGGACGGAGGTCAGGACTGGGGCAGGGGTCTTCCCTGGCACGGTGGGTGGGCCCAGCCCCCGGCCCCAGCACTGCCCAGTGTGCACACAGGGAGCCCTTGCCCTGGGCCCTGACTGCTAACAAAGGTTTGAACCTCTGAGAGCCCGGAATAGCAAGGACATAACTTTACAAGCGTGAGTACCAATCCATTCCTGGGATCCGCCCTCACCAGGAAAAGTTGCCCGATGATGTCAGGGAACACAAGCATAAGCAATGCCATCATTGCCATGCCCAGACTTCCTAATCAATCAATCAATCAATCAATCAATCAGTAAGGGGAAGCCTGAGGATGGCAGCCTCGAACAGACGTGTTTCAGTTCTGAGCAGCGAAACACCAAGAGCTCTGCTCTGTCATTGGCGGGATCCTGCTTTGTCCAGGGAGTTGGAAGCAGAGCCTGAATTGTACCTTCACTTAGTTGGCGCCCAGGGGTTCTGAGGGAAGGGAAATGCTAAGTAGCCACCGGAATTATCTCAATCCTGGCCAGGGCAAGAAGGCCACTGTTGGGCCTTCTTGAAGGGAGAGAGTACATTTTTCTTTCTCAACCTGGCAGACGTGGCCAAGGGGAGACCCCCGCAGCCTGTGCTGGCAAGCCTGATGTGTGAGGTGGGGTGCTCCCGGTCATCCCCAGTTTTCCTGCTGCCCAGACTGGCCCTTTCCCAGAATCTGGTGCTGTCATGTGACTGCTCCTTTGACTTTGGACTTGGTGATCTGGTTCAGGGCAGGGCACATGGAGGAAGGCTAGCTGACCCGTGCCAGGAGAGCACGGCTGCCTTTTCTGACCCAACTATGTGCCAACTGGACCCCTGCTTTGAGGTCTTCCAGTTACTGCCAACCTCCCAACCAGCACCTGGGGTGTGGGGGGTCCCGATCTCCTTGCAGGGAAAGGAGGGAAAGGAAAGGAGAGAACAGGTGAGGCTTCCCTACGAGGCAGAGGGCAGCCTATCTGGGGGATCGCATGCACCTTGCCGTGCCATCCCACGTGGCACCTACCGCGGAGGCGAGCAAGTATGTGCTTGTGACACTGTCAACCGCCACCAAAGCCTCACTTGCTCTGTCAAGTGGCAAGGGAGCCTCTGTAGGCTTCCTCAGTGATGGGGAAGGAGATTTTGATTTTGCTAAGAGCTGAGATCCTTCAAACAAGAAACATACCAATCTTATTTTATTCTACTGGGGCAACTGCACCAAAAGGCAAACCATAAACATAATGAACAATGTTGGATGCTTTCAGAAAGCAGAACTTAATCAGGAATCATGCAGAGTTTTGTTTTGTTTCCCCCGTAGACTTCAAGCCACTGACTCAACGATACCACTCAACTGCCTGCTTCCACAGGCACCGAGACCTGTAGGAAACCACCCAGTGGGACTCAATCCGGCGCCCCGACTAGCTGCTGGAATTAATTCTCCACGTTGACAAAAACAGGGACTCAACCCAAGACTCTGTGGGTCCTCATACCATAAATACAACCCTCCATGACACACAAAAAGGCAAGAGCGAAGCTGTGTGCTCCCCAAGGTGCCCGGCTGAGCAGCTCACGTGAGAACAGGTAACAGGAAGGGTGGGCTGGCACAGCGCAGGGCGGACAAGCAGGAAGGGAACTCCTTTCAGATGGTCGCAGCCTTCCTGGCCTGGCTCTTAGGTCTTTGAGGAAGGATGGATAAGCCTTTCACGGGTTATTTATAGCAACGAGATGCAAATCATCTGGGAGAGAGCAGCAGCCAGTGTCCTGGACACTTAGGCAACTGTCCATGGCTCCATCCTTGTCTTCGTGGGCAAAGAACTGGACCTCCACACTATAGGCAGGACTCCTGCATCTGCTTAAATCCATTCTCTCCCCTTCATTCATTCGCCAGACGTCAGCTGAGCCCTACCAAGAGTCAGGCGCTGTCTCTGACTCTAGGCACTGGGGATCTAAAACCAAATACAACAGAATCCTGGCCCTGAGAAGCTCACGGTCAGTTGCCCGGACCCATAGAGTGTGAGTGCACTGCCAGGACAGGGAGCTGTGGGAATGTGGAGGAGGGTGTGTGAGTGTGAGTGTGCGCGTGTTCTTTCTCCACACAGGGTTTCCAGGCTTAGTGTATGGTTCAGCTTTACAGTTTGGGAGTCAGCCGAAGAGGATGGTGAGTGCATAAAAGCATGCGGAAACATTTTATTATTAAAGATAAATGTGGAAAAATCTGCCCCAGGGACCATTCTACTCTTTCCTTTCCCACCAAATACCTTGAGAAGTCTACCCGCCTTCACCCCATGGCCTCGTCACCCGTTCACACTCCGAGGTTTGTGGGTTTCCCTTCAGTCACTCCCAGCTCCCTGAGACCCTTCCTGTCGTGGCTACTGGTGACCTCCTGGCGGCCAGTTCCAGGGGGCAGTGTTCGATCCTCATCGTTTGGGTCACAGCCACGGCACCCAGTGCGGTTCCCTCTTTCAAACTCTCTCGGACCCTCGGGCGGGCTCATTGGTTATTTGGTTCTTCCCCATCTCACGGTGCTCCTCAGGGCCTGTCCTCAGCTCATAACGCTCCACACCCTTCTGGGGGGACCGACTACCGTGTGCACACCGATGACCCACGCCGAGTCTTTCAAACCCCGGTGAAGTCCAGACCTGTTCTTCTGGCCACTGACTTGCCATTCCTGTCTGGCTGTCTCTCGGGCATCTCGGGCCCAGCCCATTAAACTGAACTCCGCATCTGCCACACGAGGAATTCCTCCTAGGCTTTTGGTTTCCAAATGGCACGGTATTCAAGCCCAAGCCCCCTCCCCTCGCCTGGACTCCTGCTAAATGACCTTCCTGATCCTTCACCCTCGCAGCCCCTGCTTTGGCTCAGGGGCCCACCAAGACTGGCTATAGGCTCCTAACATGTCTTCCAGCCAGTTCAGGCTCCTTCCTGCAGTGTGGTGTGTTCCGATCCAGGAAGATGTCCCCACGGGCCTCGGCGATGACCGGGTCACACTAGGGTGTGAGAGTTCTGGCTGCAGGTCTATCTGACACCATGCAGCCCTGAGGTCCTGAGGAACCCCGTGTTACTCTGCACGTATTACTCACAATTAGCCTCCAGTAGATGGGGTAAATCTAGCCCAAGGCAGCTGCTTGTCAGAGTCAGTAACTGAGTGGAACAGCTCTGGAGGCAGACCTCTGGACACAGAGCTTATCAACAGTGGCTTCGGGTGGGAGCCCAGCTATCTCCTTAGAAATCTCCAGGTTCTGTGTGAGGTCAGAATGCCCAGGAGGCAAGGGCGGGGTGACAGCATTTCCTGCAGCATAATCAGCTAAGGAGGTCTGGAATGCACCGGAAATGGCCGATCTGTATCTGTCTTGGTGGCCCAAGTAGCAAAAGATTAGGGATAAGCCTTGAAGAGCAGGTGAGACTCAGGTCCCAGAGAAAGAACAGAGCCGGGGGCCCAGTCCTTGGTGGATGCTGAGGGAAGGTTCGTCCCTACTCCGAGGCCATCGGCTCCCGAGGGGACACACACACAGAAGTCTGGGTATTCTGAAGCAAGTTCGACATGTCAGTCTCACAGACACAAACTCTCCTCCTCAAGGAAGTCAAACTGAATAAACTGTTTATGGCTCTCCTCCTGCTCACTGGCTACTCTTAGACTTCATATCGCACCTGTCACTTTCCCAACACTCCCATTCCAGTGAACCAGGAAGAAAGGGTTTTTGCAGAGTCACTATTATCCTAGGTGTGAAATCAGAGACACAGAAAACGTCACTGACTTAATCGAAGGCTGGACAGGAAGTCGGGCGTGTCAGGGCCGCCCATGCTGCCTTGGGGCCCCGTGTTCCCACACACCGATTCGGCCCAAGACGGAGGGGAGCGCGGCTCACGGCGGCTCCATCTCTCGGGCATGTGTGTGTCCTCGGTGACGGGATATGAATGGCCTCCTGATGGCTGCTCCAGAAATAAGGGGGGGGGGGGTAAACACATTCTTTCATCATGACACTTACCAATCTAATTCTTATACAAAATGTTTTCTGTGCCTCCTACTAGGTAAGGCACAAACTGGCCTTTTCAATGTTCCCCCAAAGAGAACGGCTTCTTGTATTAAAAATGGCAACAATCATTGTGTTGAACAGGCTGCTTGGTAAGGCAGTTAGCATAAAATTATGAGCAACAAGAATAACCTAAAGTTCAGTTGGACAGGTCATTGCCACTTGTGATAAGTTAATGGTGAACAGGACTTTCACTATAGGGTGTGGATGTGAGTAAGCCTGTGTCTGTCCATCCAGAGGTTTTAAAAGCAACCTTTCTTATGAAGTATACATGCATATTTCATAAATATATTATTTCGTATTTTACGTACCATGCATTAAATATAACTATGTCACATAAAATTATACACACGTTTTTGTTAAAAGTTAAAAAAAAACTCCCATTGCATTAAAATGTTTACGTGCTCACAGAACTTGTGCCAGCCCTACCCACCCCAGCACTCTGCTGCCTTCCGAAGGCTCCTGGGACAACTCGGGAGGCTGCCCCTGGAGCTCTGCAGGCAGCAGGTAACTGCAGAACTTCCCACCCGCCACTCCCAGCACCTCCCGACAGCAGTGCGGCGCCCGGGTCCCGAGACGGAGGCAGAACGCACCCGCTGTGTGTGGAGCAAGGCCTGCTCTCCTTTGGACCTTAGAGGAAATCATAAAGTCACCAAGTCCTAAAGACAACATCGTTACCAGAGTGACGTCCGGATACAAAGATCGGACGAGAATGTGTTTAGGCAGCAAACGAAGAGGGGCAGTGGCAGCTGGTAACTGCTTTTAACACTGGAATAAACTCTTTTTCAGCATTTGGCATTTTTGAGATGGTTCCTATCAGAGGCACGGGGACCTATTCTGTTGTTAGGTTCAAGTGTGGAATTGCTCTCTGGAGAGCCCCTGTGCCCACCTGTGTGGTGATTTTGAACACTTCCAGGGAACCCGGAGCACACCTGGTTCGGCGCTGGCCTCTCGGGGGCGGCTTTTCTCAAAACCCAGCCCTTTCCTGGAGGAGGACAGGAACGGGGCAGCTCTGCATATCCCCTGCACTGTTTTGTCAGGACTCAGCCTCTAGTGGTGGGTCAGACCCTTCTCTAATCTCTACCAATGTCCCAGAGGCAGAGGGGAACAGACACGAGACCTGATCTGACAGCACTTCTTCAGTGCTCCAGGATGGCCCGTCGCAGGCTGCCTGGGCCCAAGCAGCAGGACATTCCGCAGTCGGCTCGCAGAGGAGCATGAATAACCAGGAATCTCTGCTTCGGAATCACTTCGGTTTTTCTTACTTCAGTAACGAAACAGCACGTCCAGGCGAGGGCCTGCCCTCTTTTCAACTGCAAAGTGTCCCTGGTCCAACTTCCCAAGACGAAGGGAGAAATTTTCTCTCAGTTGGGAATAACTTACCCTTTCCAAAGACTTCAGGAGGTTTTGTCTTTCTTTAAGCTTCTGAATACTGATGACAATTTTGTGTCTTGCACCTTTGGTAACATTCTGTAATAAAATAAAAGTTGTTTTTGAAAATATTTTTAAGGATCATCTTAGAGACCCTTGGAGGCTGTTTGGTATTCTACTGTTTGCTTTGTTTCCCTACGTTTGCAGACTAGGAAAAAACATCTGTTTGTCTCTCTTTAGTACCTACTGTTACAAACCTCTTCTTACTAAACATTCTAACTCCATCTGGTTGCCGTGTGTCTGTGTCTTTGTCTGTAAACTTGAGGACAGAGAGTGAAAGCTGGAACAGCCGATGAGCTCACCCAGCATGAAATTTCCTCATAGTCTTAACAGACCATTTTTAAGGCACATACTTCTCTTCTCCAGGATTTATCATCCCGGTCCCTCCCAGGTGCCCTGAGGGCTCCAGCCAGACAAGGACAGGCACGGTTTTCTCCAGTCTTTCCTGTTCCTCATCTCCATTCTTTTTTCTTTTTTTAAAGGTTTTATTTATTTATCTTTAGAGGGGAAGGGAAGGAGAGAGGGAGAGAAACATCAATGTGTGGTTGCCTCTTGTGTGTCGTGTCCCCTGCTGGGAACTGGCCTGCAACCCAGGCGTGTGCCCTGACTGGGAATCGAACCATGATCCTCTGGTTCGCAGGCCCACGTTTAATCCACTGAGCTACCCCAGCCAGGGCCTGTTCCTTGTCTCCAGATGTGGAGCCCAATGCGGGACTCACCTGCTGTCTCAATACACAAACAGTTTTTGTCAGCACCCAGCTCTCCTTTGGTTTCCACAAAAAAACCCTTAAACCTACAACTCAGTTGTCACTTCAGGGAAGTGAGTTAGACTCACATAGGGCTGTGGATTTTATCTTAATGGTATAGCAATGATGAGCTTAAGGATTCAGTTTAACACTTGTTAACTATACGTCCTACAAATTTCCAAACAGAAGGGCCTTTCTGAAACAGGTCTCTAATACATACTTCTTGCAACTATTCATTAGATTCCTCTTAAAAAAGGAAAAGATGGGAACATCAGCTGTATCTCCTTTACTTAGAAAAATTAAGCCATCGAGTGAACCTGAACTGCCTCTCAAGATGAATCACTGGGGGCACATTTCTGTTTGGCCTTGACTCTGGGCTAATGTGGATGGATTACTCGGGGAAGTCTGTGCCAGCCTCTGGCATGGCCCCTTTGGTGTCAGTTGTTTCTTGTTTTTTCTCAACTCGAACAACTGATGACTTAGATTTTTTCCCTCGACTACGACTCAAAGACGAACGTGCTCTCAGAATCGGTTCCCATCAGTGCCCGGGACCCCGAGGAGCAGTCGGGGTGAAACAGGCAGTGGGAGAAGGGTTAGGGCGTCGAAGTTAGTGCGTGTCGTTCTCTGAGAGTGTGTGGTGACTCGGGTTTTGTCTGGTGTCCTGCGGCCAGTGCTCAGCCCGGCGGGCAGAGGCCAGCTGAGGGTGAGTGTGCCCTGGGAGCCCAGCGATCCGCTGGAGGTGTGTGTCCAGACCAGCTCTGCCCCAATGGCACAATATCCTTTTCCTGCAGGGGAAATACTATTAGCCTGTTCAGACCATTAATTCTTCTAAATCACTCCTCAAAGGAAACGAGGTCAATTTAAAACATGCAAATAGCATTTTAAACAAGGGCAACAAAGACATCAGTCAGATGTGCTCACTCGAGCTCAGCATGCTAGGAAGCAACGCATAGCTTCAGGGGTTCTGTGGACCTTCCTGGCCTTTCGCAGCCACCCTCGGGGCAAGGTGCCTCGGAAGGAAGGAAGCGCTTTGTCCTTTACGGTACACAGAAGGGAAATCAGATCTGAGACCTGGGCTAATGCCATCTCAATAACTGTCCTGTGGTATCAGAGGTGGTTAGAGGGGGGAAAATATTGTACAACTTACTCTGATCTCAGCTAAGACCAGTCTGAACATGTTTTTGTACAAGTGTTGAGAAAGGTTTACGGCATGACCTGGTGCCTCTGCTCAGCAATCACTAGAACTTAGCTGATCTGTAACCAGACTGGGCAATAGACAACCAGTCCTTCTGTCGTTCCCCAAGCAAGCCCTCATTCGGCAGAGGGAAGGAGCAGGAAAGGAATGTAAATACGTGATACAGCTTCTGTGAGGCCTTGGTCCAATGTTCTGCTTCTAGGAGATGCCACTGACTCCTCCCATGCACCCTTGAACTTTGTGAGTGCACCTATGTTATGCCTGCTTCATACCACCCCATTTCACCACCATCGGCCTGTCTTCCATTTCCTACTGCGCCCTGAAGGCAAGAACTGTGCCCTACTCAGGACGCAGTGCTGGTCAGCACCTGGCAAGTCCTCAGAGATGAGCTACCACAAGGGTATAGGTATGAGTACAAACAAGGTCTGTCTTGGGCTGGAACTTCAGGTTCCACCTGGGGTCCCTTCTCAGGGGATGGGCCCCTGAGGCACATACCTGAGCCTCCAGCTGGCACTCGGTGAGGGCCATCATTTCCTCGTAGGTCATCTGGGAGAACAGGGCGGCGTACTTGTGCAGACGGAGGCTCTTCAGCCAGGCCGGAACATCTGGGGTGCAGGACGTGCGGGAGGTGGGGAGAGAAGTTGAGAGGGCACGAGAAGAGATGACAACAGAGGGAGCAGAGGCGGAAAAAGAGGGCAATGGTCAGAGGGAAAAAAGAAAAAAAAACTTCGTTACTACTTGTTTAATTTTGGTAGCAAATTATGGGCTCTGAAGCCTGGATCTACCCCTGACCTTCTTGGTCTAGCTCCGTAGAGCTCCCTTTATTCCGTGTTAGACCAGGGGGCTGTGGACTTGGGGTCCATGGGCTTTGGGGAATATAGGGATCCCCTAACATTATATCCCAATTGGTGAATATAGTAGGTAGTTTTCTGGCAGAGAAACATCCACAGGTTCTGCTAGATTTCCAGAATGGTTCATGACCCCCCCAAAACGTTGAGGAACCACTGCTTTACCTAGACTACTTCATTACTGATTTGGAAAGAAGTGATGCAGAATGTTAAAACTACACATGAGGAGTCTTCGTCCTCAAGAAAATTTCTTTCCAGGTTCAGTGCAGAGCTCCACATGCTGTTTCTGCCACTTCTCCAGTGAAGGGCTCACCAGGCAGCTGTAGACGCCCCTCCCCCGCAGACATGGGTGGAGTCGCTGTCGTTCTTAGCCTGATCTTACTCCTTCCTAGGCTCTCATGGAAATGGGGCACCTGGACTCCAAACCACCCCTCTGCTGTGCGCGTGTCTGCTGACCATTTCTCCGAGCTATGGGATGCATCTGGATGTGTCTCTGACATTCGCCTTTAATGTCATCAATGACATTTGTATCAGGATTTGAAATGTCCAAAAATTGGCTAGATCATAGGATAATGGGCATTCCAAAACACACCCAAAATAAGCCCCAATGTTGGGATTGTAGAGTTAGGAAAATTAAACAGTAACTGTATTGAAAAGCCACAGTATTCTTACTTTGCTAATAACTAAGTATAACCAAAACAAATTGAGAAGTCTCTAGAATCATTTCCCCCGGCCCCTGACTCATCCTACAGATGGCAAAATTGAGTCATTAATTCTGGATCACAGAGTACGTGGTGAAATGGGGACTTGAACCAGGTCTCTTGAGCCCCAGCTTTTTCCTACATTGTATCAACTTTTTTTTTCAGACTGAGGACCAAACAGCCCATCAGTAGGAGAGCTGAATAAACAGTACTCTCAAACAAACAGACTGCAAAGTACTCAGCAACACTGAAGCTTTGGTCAAGGTTATTCATGCTTTCTATCAAGTATTCTCCATTCCTAGCCATGATGGTTGCAAGATCCTGTCTATCACTAAATGCTTTATTCTGAGGCACTGACAGAGACCACAAACACTCCAAAATAAGTGGAAACCTTCTAATGTTTTTCAGTGTTTAAAACAGTTAATGGGGGTTGAGTAAAGAGAGGCCTGGCTACTCTGAAATCAGGCCCTGCCTCCCTTTAGGTGAACCGAACCTGGGCTTGGGGAATGTGGGTGTGGGTTGGTCTTCTGAAACTCAAAGATATAGGAGGGGAGGGTGGCCTGGTGAGGTTACTCTGTGCTCTGCGGTGATGTGAAGGCCAAAGATGGAGAATTTCTGGAGAAACAGACTTGGAGGTCCAATGACATTTTAAGGACAGATTCAGTGATCTCAGGCAAGAAATACTTGATTCTGTGCTTGGAACCCTTCATTCTACTGCAACAAGTGGTGTCCCTCCAGGCCCATCATCAACCGCAAAGAGACAGGCGCACAGTACCAACTCGACATTCTCCTTGGCTCTAACTGCGACTGGATCGAGAGTCCAGGACAAGCCAGCCCAGAAGCTGCCTTCCCTCCTTCGATATCCTGCAGCTACTTTACCAGACTTTATTCTCCACCGCGTTTTTGCTGCCGTTAAAACAGCTCTCATACTTCTGCAGACAGACCAGCAGACAAACACAGCTCCAGCTTTCAGGCCAATGACAGGTTGCCATTTTGTCACCAGGTTTCTTGTTTGCTACTTACATCACTGAAAAGCCCCAAGTCGCTGCTCAAAGAACTCAGTGATCATGATTCAGAGGACTCTGGGTGACCCAGTGCCACACTGGGCCACCATGCATCACAAAACAGTATGGAACGACCTCACAGGCCAAACTTTCACCAGGTGCCCTATAGCTTAATCATGCAAAACCCACTGATGATTAAACAAACAGAAACACAAGCTACTAAATCATGTTGCAAACTGGGTGCTTTATAAGCCAAGGTGACACTGTAGGGTTTTGAGTCAGGGAGAGTCAGGTGTAAGTCTTGACTTGGCAAGTCTCAGTTCAATCAGTGCTAGTTCCTTTCTATAAAAGTACCATATTTTTTGGACCTAAAGCACTGCCCCCCCCAAATTTGGGAGGAATAATGGTTGTTAATGCTGCTGCTGAGTTCTGTTTACATTTACATTGGTGAAATACTATGTTATTTATGTTACTAAATATTTTACCACATTTTTTTGCTTCAAAAAAATTTTTTCCTATTTTCTTCCTCTAAAATCTAGGTGCGTCTCATGGTCCAAAAAAATATGGTATGTGACAGCCAGAATTCCTCTGGTGAGAGGGAAGGAAAAGCCTGCCTCACTCATTTAGCCCACAGGCAGGTCCTTGGGACTGTGTTCCTAGAAAGGGTCCCTCCACAAGTCCAGAGCGTGGAGAATTAGGCCTCCCTGAAGCGTTCTTTCTGGATATGTTCATGGGGAATGTAAGCTCTTCTTGGCTCCGTAGTCTTTGAAGCAGGTGCCCATTGGCTCTGCCTGGACTGCAAGCATCTCCACGCCTCATTCGGTGTCATGTGCTTAAAGAGCTCTCCCTTCCTGCGACGTGAAGTGATGAACAAAGAGGAGAAAATCCGGGTTCTCAAGAACATAGCCTACTAACCTTCACTCCCTGGCTGATGGCGAGGCACCTTCCTTTGCCAAGGATGAAAACAAAACACTGTTAAAAGGGAAACAAACAAGAGAACTGAGCACCTTCCCTATTTGGCTCCTCCCAAGCCAGGAACTCCAGTGATTTGGATGCTAGATTCTGTAAGATGTTGGCTGGAAATGAATTCTAACTAAAAATCAGGTCCAGATGCCACACGGCTGGATGCAAAGCTGAGAACCACCTAACATAACCTCAGACCTTCTTTTCATTCTGCAAAGCTGTGGCTATGGTTGGTGGACGCAGACAAGCAGGGCAGAAGCAGGGGGGTTTCCCTGGAGGAGCTGATACATAACTGAAAGTTATGTATCATAACTGATACATAACTGGGTGGAGATCCCAGACTAGAAAGTCACTCTCTTCTGCAGTGTGAAAGGCAAAGATGTTCTGCTATATGCTGAATAACTTCCTTACCAGGTATGCGCATCTTGATATTTACTCACTCCACATTTACTGAATGCCTAGTATGGGGGCCAGGCTCTGTGAAGTCATCAAAGAACTTTGCAATCAAGGAGCTTTAAATCTGGAGAAAAATTATAATAACTGCAGGACAAGCACTAAATCTACTCAAAGTTCTAGGAGGGCATGAAACTTTGCTTGGAAAGCGAGGGGTAGCTACCCAGTAGCAGCAAAACTGGAGTCACTGGGCAGACCTTCTGGGGAAGCCACTGCAGGAAGCAGGAACAGTATATAAACAAAGCACACAGACAAGGGAGCATCATGCAGGGTCAAGCAAACGCTTGGGTGAATGATAGAGCATGGTGAGACACACGGTGGGGCGAACAGCCGGGGGTCAGACGATTGGCATCTGTAATGCCGAAAAAGGAGAGTAGGCCTCATCTCGTGGATGATGAGAAGCTTCTGGAATCTGAGCAGTGGAGGCTCAGTCCGAGTCTGTTAGAAGGACGATGACGGTCCGTGGGAGGGCTGGAATGGAGGACGGTGAGAGTGGACTCAGGAGATGAATGCAAGCCCTTGGAGATGGCTTGGGAGGGCGGTGACCCAGGAGTAAGAAAGGAAGCAAGCTGGCCGTTCTTGAAGAGCAGGGAAGGACCGGGAGTAAGAGAGAAAGAGCCTAATTAGGATGGCTCTTTAGATGCGGGTTTGGGGAGACAGAAAATGCAGCAGGGACAGACAATTCTGGGGAGCAGCAGGTTTGGGGAGAGAAGAGGAGATGGTGAGTTCCACTTTACAGAGGCTGAGTGTCGCTGTGCTTGGGTCACCAGACGGAGACACCACCTGCTCAGGACCTCTGAGGAGAGGTCTGCGTCAGAGAACCATTTTCCTGGTCAGGAGTACAAGGTGGTTATTTCAGCCGTGAAAGTCGGGGAGATCACTCAGGGAGAGAGCGGGAAGTAGAGGGGAGCTGGGCGAGCCCTGGGAGGGCCGGCTTCTAGGGGCAGGTGTGGGGAGAAGAGCCCCTGCACCGCCATCCTTGTGCAGACACCGGGCCCCCACACCTCAGTGTCCATCCTTTAGGAAGCCCCTTCTGGAGTTTTCTGCAGTCCATAGTGGTTTATCTCCTCCTGGCTGTTTTTGATAATAGTGCTACACTCATCTTTTATGTGCTCTGTATTTACCTGCTGCTGTTTACCAATGGGATAAGGTTTCCAATTATGCTGACTGCCATTTCCCTTTTTGAGTTCAGCTGAGTCAGCCACATACAGGCTTTGTGGTGCGTGCAACAGCTCGCTTGGAGCTGGGCTCCAGTTAGAACTCGGGCTGCCTCCCTCACATGCCTGCTGTGGGGATGGCCGCAAAGGCCAGCCAGGTCAGCAGGCCACACAGCACCTGCCCCACCAACAAGGAGGCCCCATAAGAGACAAGGATGGGATCACGATCGCTGAAAGGCCCATATGGGAAGCAACGTACAGGGCAGGGAGTAAGGCATCCCTGGAAGAGAGGAATACGAAAAGCCCTGTTTTCCACAAGAAGCCTCACCTGTGGTGGCCCTGGCACCTGCAGAGGGCAGAGAAACTGCCATTAGCCAAGAGAGTCAGGCTGGTCTCAGGCAGCTCTTGTCCAAGATACAACTGCTGCAGCCTTGGTGTTTGAGGGAGAGAAGAGGGAAGCCAAGCTGAGGGGTGAGAAG